ATTTAAAGAAATCTATTCTAACCTCTTACAACAAAAAACATCATAAGGTTCATTTTAATAAAGAACCCTAATTAGCAGTAGTGCCTACTCTAAAACAGAAATATTACATCTAAACACACGAGTGCAATATTTTTTTAATAAACAGGTACCTACTCCGTTTTATTGCTTAGTACGACTATTTAGAAATGAATTAGTGAAATTATAGGCATGGACACACTACCTCAGGCTCCACACACATGGACGAATTATGAATACGAACCATAAGTTACCTAATAACGAAATTAACCTAATAATTAAATCCTTATAATTTTTCAGTGGCCAACAAACTTCTACAGCCGTACTCACAAACTCATACATCGCAAACAAAATCTTTTAAAAACATGAATTTGTCAGAACGAAACGTTATGAAATATCTCTTTTTTTTTTAGTAAGAACGTATATTCATCTTTACCTTATTAGGTAATGGTGTAGGTTTGAAATGCCATTTCTCTAAACTTATCTACAAAATCAAAATTTCAATTTGATACTACAACGAAATAAAATATTTGCATAAAGATTATTTATATTCTATTCTAGACTTGTTTAGAAGCTCTTTTAAATCGTCTTTTTTTTTATTCTACTACTGAGACGGGATATTGTTATCTACTGAGAAGAACCCGCAAGAATTTCAACAGTTACTTTTTTCAAATTACCATTTACAAGATAGTTTTACTTTTATATGGGTACTGTAACGATAATCAGTGTGAAGATTTATTTATGTGTATTATTAAAAAGAAAATAAACAAGCAAACATGAGCAGACCAGTCCCGCACCAACAGCACTCATACAAGAGTATGACAGATGCACCAGCCATCATGGCCCTCAACCATAATTTAGGGAACTCAACGACCCCGCCCATCACGCCAAACCAAAATTAATATATGTTCAAGATGGTCCATAATACAGTAATTTCATGAAATTATCAAATTAGGTTAAGAAATAAATTTAGAGAAATGGCAACTCAAAAACGGCCCCAAACGTAAATAATTACGTACCAAGGTCAAAGTCACAGTAAAATAAACGACCAAAGATTATTGTTAAATATTTAACCCCTTATTAATAAAAACATCAAACGTCTTATAAACCTATTTTAGCTATTGAAGTGTTCTATTCTTTTATTCTAAATTCATAATATGCAAGATAAGGGGGAAGGGATTGTTAGTAATGCGGGCTACCAGTCCCATTGCTAGCAATATACCCTGTTAGGTCGTCCTCCACGCGATTCCCCCTGGAAACCATCGTGCTGAGTTCCAGGTGTATTCATCACGATGGGCTGACTGACCTGCCTTTTTTCATTATTCACCTATCACCCCTTACTGGTGCCCCACCAGCGTATACTGATAGCGCATGCGGGGTTATCACTTTATTCATCATCCATTAAAAAAAATATATATGCAAGGTAATGACAAAATACTCCAGTAGTTAAAATAGATTTGTGGGATGTTGTAATTTTTATAAACAAGAGAGTTATTATTTAATGATAAATCTATTTTATTTTGGATGAAATATAGTCAACGACTGACAGCTAAATTATGATTCAGTTTTTAATGTATTATTATGCTCAGTCATATCTATCATAATTTTATTTTACAATAATTTCACCAACCACGGATATCTAACTTATATTCATAGCAAATTCTTAAGTGGTGCATAATCCTTTCTTAATTAAACTAAATACTACTAAAATCAATTTGATACATTTTTCTTTTATAAATTTTGTATATGTTTTAGTTAATAAATATTGACAAATCAAAAAAATTACCGTAAGGATAAAGATTGAGGATCAAAGTAACAAATGTTTATATACAAAATATTTATTCCTTCCATAAGGACGACTACGAATATGAGTGTTTGAGATTCGACCCATAAAGTCTGCGCCCATAGTGTTGTGTCATGAGACGTAAGAATGCAATAAAGCATGGCACCACCAAAATATTGTATGTAACAATACAACATACGAAATCGCAAGTTAATTTTTACGATTCAACAATTTTCCATGACTGAGCAATGATAAAAATATTAAAATAATTATTGACCCTTTAGTAAATCGATTCCATACTCCATTGGTTTGTATTATCATAATATTAAACCTTTTATATATATTATCGTTACAAGCTAATATCCTTCCCGTTACATACTCATTAGTAGCTGCACCGTGTGGAATCGATCAACGCGGCAACACACGGTGATGCGTGATATGCGTGAAGATATAATGATGCATTGTTCAAGAACTTTTGAGCAATATAAGAACGAAACTTGGATTTTAATTGTAAATTATAAATAGGTTCTAACATTATAAATGTGAAATTCATTGCCTCTTAGGGCATTATTGGTATAAACAATCTTTTTGAATTTTTGCAAAAACGTAGTATTTATTTCTTATTCACCGTCATACGAAGACGCGAAGGCCACTAATATTTTATACTTTCATCGTTATCCTGCATAACGAAAAAACTTATTTACGTTGAATAACATATTTAGTAGAACATACATAATTAAAAAAAAACTTAGATAATTTTTTTTACAAAAGAAGCCTATATAAATTTCTGACAAGCCATATCTATAAGAATTAAATCAATGGTAAATCGGTCGAGGAACTAGTTATAAATGTCTATCAAAAACAACCGACATCCACAACAGAAACCAGAATTAAAACTACATAAGGCTAGCAACAAAAGTACCAACATAAGAAAGCAAAAGGAGTTAACTGGCAAACAAGCCAAACCTCAAATTATAAAAAAAGACCCAGGATATATTGTACAATTTAAATAACTTAATATGACTTTAATAGAAGAATAAAATGAGAGCAATGAAATAATTATCAACTTGCCATTTTGCGAGTTAAAAAAAAGTATCAGTAATTAGATACCTACTTTTATTGCTACATTAAAATTTTTATCAGATTGCTATATTCATAACTTTTCTTATAATCATACAAGTGTCATTTAGTGTTATTTAGATAGACCTCTAGTAGACAGGCTCAATTGAGGAATTTAAAATAGCTCCATTGAGGTTAAGTAACTGACCTCCGACGCAAATGACGGGGTCTTTAATAATGTTCATAATAAACAACATGAATAATTCCTTATTCGTGAAATGTAAATGGAAACAAAAAATAGTATAACATAGCTTGTGGACACAATTTATGCAAATAAATACAGTATTGTCTATAAATACTTGAACATACAATAATCTGTTTTTTTAAGTACCAACCTAACTAAATACATTTATAGATATTGAATATATCACAATTTGTAGATATCTACGTGTGGATAGAAGGACTGTAGACTGTAGAATGGTATGGAAACATGTTGTCTTCAAGAAGATAATATAATTATAAAATATAGATCCAAAAGCAAAAAGTAAACGAACAAAATGTGACACTAATAAGATGCCAAACAAAATATTTATAATACATAAAAAAGGTGCGTCGTGCTCACTAGGTATTTTGTATTTTTTTTTGTGTAATTTACAAATAAAACTGACACTGCCTAATTAAATTTATAAATCAGAGAAAAACCATTTTTAGACTACAGTAACTGCTTACCAACAGGTGGGCCGTATGCTTGTTTGCACCTCAGTGTTATAAAAAAAAAAACTTTGAATTCGATTGCCCTATTTGTTTATTTATAAGAATTTATGTCTTAACATCGTTTGAATAAGGAATTTTACTAAGGAACATAGCAAAATGACATGTCATAAAATACAGTACAACAAATCCACAAAATGTGACTATGTATCGCACTAATCATAAATTTTGGTGATTCTAATGGCCCCAATATCTTAATATGGGAATATCTTAATAATCCTATAAAAAAGATCTGTTTAAATAATAATCGAATGACTAGTATTTAAAAAATCAAAACATGAAAGAAACCACATTGTGGGAATGTGGTTTCTTTCATGTTTTGATTTTGTGTCTGAAAAATTTGTAAAGCATAAGATGTAATGAAAATATAAAAGATAGGAACCAGAACACTGAATACGAATTAAATATTAACTTTATAATATCATATTCGAATTCAAGAAATTAATCTTCACTGCAAATATTTTCGGAATAGTTACCTATTTTAGAATGGCACCTATATGCAAAAAATATTATATATATCACAATATAATAGACATACTTACATAAAACTTATCCCATAAATTATAATAAAGAATATTTTTTTGCATTTAATCTTTTTTTATATAATGTACTTATGTATGGCCTTTAATCACTATCCAGTGAACAATTTAATTTATAGTAGGCTCACTTACATTTAAATATGTTCTAATATAAGTAGGCACCTTTTTTTAAACCGGTTTAATTTGACTAAGTTCCATAATAGGTATATGTTCAGATACGTTATAAGTACACCTTATCCATTTTATTTTCCCAATGATTGCTCATAACAGATAAATTATCTTGTAAAAAACTGTCGTTTTTACAATCCTGCAATGTCTTTTATGAGTAATAAGTGATTGCACATAATGAAGTTATTACATGTCAAAGGAACTAAAGTAAGACAGATTTACATAACTATATTATTTGTATGCATACCATTTATCAAAATTGTGTGTATTTATAAAGCCATTTATATTTAGTATTGTAAAATTTGTATAGACAGGACAATAAATTTTATTCAATAAGTTATATTGTTTATAGTCTAATTGTAGTGATATAAGTCAACCAAATATAAATCTTAGAAATTATTGTACTTTCGAATGATTTAAGTACATTATTTGGATAACACCAACACAAAATAAAACTCACAACACTAGATCACAATGTATTTCGATATATATATATATATATATATATATATATATATATATATATATATATATATATATATATATATATGTGTGTGTGTGTGTGTGTGTGTATATATATATATATATATATATATATATATATATATATATATATATATATATATATATATATATATATATATATATATATATATATCGAAATAGATTGTTTTAAAAAGATGAATAAAATATTACATTATTTTAATGGTATTTACTATTTATTCGATTAGATACAAAATCAGTAAACAACAAAAAATAAAATAAAAAATTCAGTATCTCATTCTATACTATTTGTAATGAGATTTTTTCATTAAAACAATCATCTTAAACAAAATTCGTTAATTTCTTTAAATACTCAATTAAGTATACATTTTAAATACTCAATCAAGTATTCATTTTAATAGGTACTCCTCAAAATTTAGATCTATTTACTCCTTAATTTAATCCTTTGGTAACAAAAGCTAGGTATTAATCATAAATTGTATAAATTTCAAAATATTCTTATCCTTTTTACTTAAAGAAAATCCTTGCTCCTTATCAACATCATACATTCTTTGAGTGCAGGAATATTCCATTAAGTATTTGTGCACTTATCTAGTAACAATGATAATAAAGCTTTATACTACTTTAAATAATGAATCATACAGTCACTGGGATCTTTATCTCTTTATTGACTATATAAAATTTGTGTTTTTTACCGAGAACCCCCCATATTACGGCTATATTTTCAATTACAACATTCAGTGGAATGGTAGCCAATGCTCCACAAATGAACAAGAAAAATTTCAATGGACCAAATCTATGAATGGGGAATGATTTGATAACACCAAAAATGTACATGTAAATATTTACAGCACCTATAAAGCCACACAACAAGTCCAAATAGTGTGGACAAGGAATGGGACAAAGAGCATTTAGTAAGACATTGCTTGTTGAAAGTGGCAATGTTACCCATGAATAACATGATATTGCTAAAAACATTTTATGAACAATAGGTATTTCCTTTGAATGAACTACTAAAAGTATACCTTGGATCCACCTTTTTCGCTGCTGGATGAAATCCCATAATGTGAAGGGAGACTTCTCCCACATCTCACCTTCAACAAAGTTAAAAGTATAACCTTGCATGTAGGCCTTCATTGCGAAGTAACAGTCTTCAGCCACTGATCCATCCAATCCATTATCAAATGATACTTTTTTCTCAGCATTTACCTAAAAAAATTAAAGGTTTCCAAGTTTGTATGGTGTTTAGATGTTTGTTATTCAGTCACACTTGAATACACTTCAAGTGTATTCAAGTGTGATGAAACTTGCTACACATGAAGACTATAATCCAGATTATCAGATAAATATATATAGAAATCCAATAATTTACTGCTAGTGCAACTATTTTCATTAACAAAGAGGGATAAAATAGAAGCTTACTGGTTTAATTTTATACTTTTTAACACAATTATTTTGATCCATTACCATAAATAGAAGCAATAAATCTGCATAGCATTTAGTAAATATGAAATTTGAAGTAAAAGCTTTAAAAAATTTATATATTACATGAAAACGAAAACTTACGCCTTCTGATATTATAGAATAAGACTTCAATATCAAATATCAAAAAAATTATTGATACAGTTGCTATTATTACCTGGGTCACTACATAAGATCCTTTCCAACTAAATAGTGGTTTGTGGAAAATGTAAAACTGAAATCGGAGTTTTCCCATATCATCTGCGACACGGAAGCTATCAGCAAGTGTTGTAAGCCAGTTCACAATACTTTCATTAGCATATGTAATAAGACCTTGGCCAAATTGATGTTGGCCATCCATCACAAAATTCAATATACCACATACAGAGTTCTCAGTCAATAATGTTTCCTCATCTAAATGTACAATCCAGTCTGTCCCAGTCAGTATATTTACATCATCTTCCAAACAGTACTGTAGGGCTCGTGATTTAAATAAAGCACCTGTCTTAGTCTTGTATTCTGATGGCACTACAACTTCCCTTACTCTCCTGTGTTTGGGCAGATTTATTGCTTTATCGGTGACAACCTCAATCATAAAGTTTTCCATCCCCACTCCAAGGCACAAGTTCATATTTCTTGTTACATTGTCTCTTACAAGTTTCGGAAAGTCTCCCCTTGTGACTACTCTGATGCAAATAAAAGGTGCTAGTAATGGTGATCCCTTCAATTTTACTTTTCCAGGGAATGCATTAAAAATTATCAATCCAAAAAAATTACAGAGAACTTGAGGTATTGTCAATAATGTTAAAAGTCTCAGGACATACAATATAATAGTGCCATGTATACCATATGATTCCCAAGGATCAACTATTTCTTTTTCTTTGTCATCTAAGTTCACTGCTCCAGCAAATACGAGGAATAAAAATATAAAACACAAGAATGCAGCACAGTGCAATAAATGTTTTACTCTTCCTCTCAACATTCTGAAATGAAATAGACAGATTAATATAAATATTTAGAAATCTTTTTAGTATTATCAGGCTATTACTTGATATTTATTAGGTTATTACCAACTATAAATTTAGCTTAGAACATATAATTTTAATTTTAAACATGTATAAAAGTTTATTTACTATAAATACATCTAACTCGTATATAAAAATTAAATTATTATATAAAATGGTAAGTAATATCAATTTAATAAAGATAAAAATATATTTTAGACTGTCTCTTTCCTATAACCATTTACCTAAAATATATTTATAAAGATAGAAAGCATTAAACAGAATATGGTAGATAATGGTATAATAATAGATTATTAAATAAAATATTAACTTCAAATACATTTAATTATTATGAAAAACATACTTTTTACCGTCTACCAGTCACAGTTGTGTTGCTAATTAGTACATAAAATTATACTTTTAAAAACTCATCTAAAAGTCTAATTTTATATTATATTTAATATAAATATAATACAAACATCATAAAAGAAATATCAGATTTCATGTAATTTTTAAGTCTTCATCTCGATTTAAAGAGTCAGTTAAAAACAAGTGGATACACAACATTTTTTTAAATGGAACTCAAAGTTCAACATATTGTAGGCAGTAACGCCCCCAATTATTAAATACTAGTACTATAACTACCGAGCTGAATAATTTTATATTTATAAATAAAAAACATTTACCTTGAACTAAAAAAATGATAATTAGTTTTTAATTTTTAAATTCACAGCCAACCAATTTACTAAATCAAAATAACTGAAAATTAAAACAGAGCCATGGTCATAAATTAGTTTAGTTACGGTTATTTAATTAAATATTATAAATAACGATACTTCATTTAAATCGTTAATAAGACTTTAACTTGAATAAAATAAACACACGCCCAGTAAAAATACAAAATCACAAATTGAGAACTTGTCCGAATTGAGCTGACAGTCTTGTCATTTCAAGACATTAAAACAAGTATCCGTATTGATATTACTCTATACTATAACGTTGACAGTGCATTGATTTAGTAACGTAGAAGGAGAATGCATTTACTACGTACCTGCGTTGCCTCAACACAAGAATATATTTTGTAAAATCTGGAACTTTTTAAGAAGGCAGGATACCCTAAGGGCGAATACGGGGCTGACATAGGTGAGAATAAGACTCACACAAGCTTTATGTAATGTCAGCTTATTATTAAGCGACATTTTATTGTGCTCGATGATGCCGCCGTTTTCGTTCTCAGACGGCTATACTCCTTGTATAACCGTCTGAGAATGAAAACGGCGGCATAATGCAGTGGCGATATAGTCATTCGAAACACATAATATTCCTGTGTTTGCTCAGGACGAAGTCACATGCCCTGCTACTATGAAAAAAAATTGATCTGTAAATCTATTAGAGGAAGCTTCTGAGACTTCCTATAAAATATAATATCTGTATGCAGATGATCTGCAGTTATACCGTCACTTTATTCTATCTAAGATAACACAGGCAACTTCAGCTCTTAATGATGATCTACTAGCTATTCTCTCCTGAGCTAAATTATATGGTCTTATCGTCAATCCAAATCTCAAGCTATGATTATCGGTAGTCGAAGACTAATGCGCAAGTTGGAATGATATATGAAGGTACTAAAATGGCATATACTGATAAATCAAAAGACCTAGAAATTATCATGGGTAGTACATTGTCGTGGAACTGTCATATTAATGACATTAGTAGACAAATGTACTTTTCATATCACTCTCTCTTTATGACATCACATTAAATACTTCTAAAATTATCAGTGTTTCTCTACTATATTATCCATATATTATAGAGAATGTCCCGTAAGTAGTGGACCAACGGACTATGGGGAATAGTGACCTATTACCTAACAAAAATACTAAAATTTATTGTCCTAGGTATTATAGTTATTAAGTTATGCTTTATTTTCAAAATGTGGTGAAAATATCATCCATATAAACTAAATATTAAATTTTACCTATTTATTTTTTTTATTGTTGTTTTTTATTCAAGATCGTTAATAATACAAAAAAACAACATCAAAATCCGTTGCATTGTTTTAAAGATCTAAGCGTTGTTTTAAGATAAGGACAGACAGACGGGAAACGAATTTGTTTTATACTATGTAGTGATAATGAAGTGATATATATATTGATTCGTAATTTATGTAAATATATTTGTTGTTTAGTTTCTATTTAGCACTACTGCCCACTTATTAATTCTTAAGCCACTGTGTTAGGTTGCCTGGAAGAAATCTCTTTTAGAGATAAGTTCACCTTTGCTATCTTTGTTTCTAGATTTCTGTTATTACTGTATGTTTCAGTGCAATAAAGAATATATAATATTAGTTATATTTATATTTTTATTATTAATATTATATAAATATAATAAAAAAATTAATAAAGTTTCAATTTAATTCATTGGTGTACGCTATACGGTATACACTGGCGGAGGCCAGCATATACCGTTAGCGCAGGAGGGGTAATCACTTCATTGTCATCCATTTAATAAAACTCATAATATTGTGGTAATTTCTTATTCTGCGTACCAAAGTTTAGTTAAAAAGGTAGGTTTATTGTTTACTTGACTGTTCTAAATTAGGTTTGACGTAAAGGTTTGATTTGACGTATGCATGACGTTTTTGGTTTGGCAGCTGCAGCTGTTTGATGGCGTAGGTAAATGCATTTTGTGGATAAATTTTGTATAATTTATTATTTTTAAACCTTTAGTGCCAGTGATAATTATAATATGTGAAATAATAGTGCAAATTGAAAATTAAAGAAACCCAGTGAAACTTATGTAAAATGCTGAAGCGAACCTCTCAAATCAGTACCCCGAAGAGAAAGTGTCTCAAATAGTAAATAACGGGTCGATAGAAATAATGTCTGTCCCTGATTTGTCTGTCGGATGTCGGTTTGCTGATTATTTTGCAATATGTGGGCTTGATTTTGATTCAGGTTTGGAACCCGACCGACTCTGTGGTAAGTTACATTAAAATAAGTGATTACTATTGATTAAATGTATTCAATCAATATATTGTATGTTCCATTTATAGGTGACAATTTACACGTATCTCCGCTCGATCGCTCCTACAAAGGAAAGATTCTAGCTCACTACCCAGATAACATCTCAAGTAATCCATTTGATGAGCATGCAGTGTGTATGGTAAGTTTTTGATAAAGATCATTATAATTTTTTTTTCTTTGTTTATATCACATATCTTTTAAATGTTTATTTTAATGTAAATAATTAATAAAGTCTCATACTTTACTGTTTTTGATTAAATCAATAGATAAATTCACACCAACAGCTACACTAAGTAAACTATACATTTATTTTTTTTAACAAATAATTTTTCAGCTTTGCCTACCAGCTGGTCTACAATTCAGAACTCAAAAACACTCACTAGAGCCAAAATTTCATAGTTTTGTAGTGACAAGAGAAAATGCTTCCAGATATTATGGATTTAGTCTTATTTTTTATGAAGAAGTCAGAAATGGAAAGATTTGTACAGCAATGCATACATTGCAGGTAAATTTCTTTATGATGATATTAAAAATTATTATATTGAAGAATGCATTTGTGCCATTAGTGTGAATTTTTATTTTAAACATAGTTGTAAAAACTGTTGTCATACGATTAAAATAAATAATTATATAAGAAAAATGAATTATATTTACTCTAACATTGTAATTCTGCCAACATTAATCATAATAAAGATGTTATGTATAAGTCCAGAATATTTGTAAAATTATTTATACACCGGAAATGGGAGGATTTGTTTGGAATTTTTTATAATTTAAGATAATTTTGTACCCATATTTCAATAAATAAATTAAATGATCTATAGGTATAACAATGTTCATTCCATCATTTAAGAGTTTCCATATCAAAGCTAGTAATGTCAGATTAATATGTCATTTTTCTAAAACAATGAAACAGTTTATTTTTAAATACTGATTGTACAAAAAGGGCTTTGCTAACAAATTAAAATATTAATCATGCAAAAAATCTTATAAAGTGTTACTGTATATATATCACTATCACTAAAAAATTGGATTTTGTTAGAAAAAAGTATTTTATAGCTTTCAAATAATATTTACTAAATATGTTAATATAGTATAATTCTTATTTTATATGTACTAAGCAATAAAATGTATGTACTAAAACATTTCTTTATTATTCAACAGGCAATGTATATTACTGAACTGTCTAGTGGGCAGACACCTCCAGGTCACAGAAAAAGTTCTGGCAAAGAAAGTTCTAGGTCGTTACCTAGATCATTCAAACTTACACCACACACGGGCGCTGCACTCACTTATTATGACATAGCCAAAGACAAACTATATGTAGCCAAAAGTATAGCTCTCATATGCCAATATCCTTATGTTAGAGTTGCACAAATGTTCCTAGAAAATTTATTTAGGTAAGTACTTCACTATTAAATCATATCATTCATAATTATAGACATATATATATATATATATATATATTCATAATTATCTGAAACCCTTAAATATTCTTTATATCTATTATCACACCAAGTCCCTTATGAAGAAGACAAAGTTAACTGAGTGAAACAGGCCTTACATACATCAGCACCTGATTTTTTTTATATAATATTTTATATGCTGTGTTATCAATTCTGAATCAGTTTAGGTAATTCATTTTGTAAATGATAGGCTTTAATCCAGTATTGGTCTCATATGAATTTTCTCATAATTAAAACCACTATTTTTTTTTTTGCAAAATAAAATCTTAAATTATTAACTATTATAAAAATAATAATAATTTGAATTTTTTATAATTTATATATATATTGTATTACAACATTTATATCAATGTATGTTGAGTGTATTAATATACTAAAACATCAATGCTATTTTACAGGTCACTACCAAGGCAGCCAGGCCCAGGGCTAAGTCCTGAGTCATATGTCTATAATTTGCTTTATGAAGTCCCAGTGCCACTATCTGGACAAGCATTACGCCTTTATGTGCCACCTTCAGAGCCTCACCTTGATCCTATTCCTGTTGTAAGTATTTATTCATCATTAGTTTTTACCTGTGACACTATCCTTGTAACTAGAATATGTTCACTGACCAGGATAAAAAATTGGCCTATGTCCTTCTCCATTCCTTATACGCATATGTGTATGTTGTTTGTGTAATTATTGTTTATCAGTTAAAGTTTTAAAGAGTAGGAACAAATTGACTTTTACATTTTTAATATTAGTACTGATTATGAAGCCATTTATGCCTAATATGCTAATCTTATTAAAGTATTTATTGTAAAAATTTAATAAAAGATATTGTTTAATCTTTATTGTACATAATTTTCATTGAACTAAAAAAAAAATTGATATTGCATGGTAGACTTATCCCATAGAGGAAATTCTTACAGTCAGCTTTTGAGAAGCTGAAAGAAAAATAGAATATTAATATTGTAACTAATGAATTTAGAATATTATATATAATATAGAACATATATATATGTTCTATATATATATATATATATATATATATATATATATATATATATATATATATAGAGAGAGAGAGAGAGAGAGAGAGAGAGAGAGAGAGATGTTAGAACTAATTAATTTATTATTTGTATCAGGTGATAAGAATGCCAAACCCACCTGAAGAGTTACCATTACTTGATTATCCATTACGCATAATGTTTTCCATGCTTGGCGTTGAATGTGTAGTTCAATTGTTTACATGTGTTCTGCTTGAACACCAAGTGTTACTCAAATCTAGTGGTAAGTAAATCATATTTTACTATATTTATCATCTATGATCTGTTATACATATGTAGTTTGACAACTAGTATTCTGTGTGATTATTGTCACCAACGTTATTTTTGTTATGATTTTAAATGCATTTTTTTATGGTTTACAAGTACCTGGCAGTTAATATGTTTTATATTTCTCCATATATACCGTATTATATTATTCTTTAATTTTAGAGGGATCAGTTAATAAATTATGAGTTACATTAAACTGAAATTATTACTTTCACATATGAATGATAGAGAAAACACTATAAAGACAAAACTAGCTGTTTTTTTTTTAATTTGACGTTTAATATACCTCTTAAATATTTGTGCTTACAGATTACAATAAACTTATGTTGGTAGCAGAATGCATAGTATCTTTGCTACTGCCATTTACATGGGCGCATGTATATGTTCCCATACTGCCAGCACCACTATATCATTTCCTTGACGCTCCTGTTCCGTTTGTCATGGGTGAGTCTATTTAGTAGAACAAAAAGTAATAAGATATGTTCTATCTCGAGCATTATTTTAATATAATTTTTAGCCTCGGTAATAATCTCTCGCCACTTTAGTGGTAACTTGTGTTTCTGTCTCTTTTTAGTGCAAAAAGTTTATTAAATTAAAAAACAAATATATTTTTAAGCCAAAGAAACCTGGAACAACTATCGGATTTTTTATAAAAATGTCTTTTATGATAATATAAAATATCTTTTTACATTTATTTTTTATAACAAAATGTTTATACTTACAAAAAAATCATATAGTCAACCAAAAAATAGCTTATGAATTATCATTGTTTCTCTTTCTCAATGTACTGAGTATGTATAAATAATATGTATATATAATATGTATATATAATAGTACAAGTATTGAAACAATTATAAATCTTTCTGTCCCAGTTGTTAAATAGCTATAGATCAATTACTGGTATGTTTGTGTATGCTATACAAAAAATTATAAATTATATTTCACAGGCCTACACGCGGATAGTGCCGCCGTGAGCGTTGGATCCAACGGCCCCCGGAGTATTGCTCTCGGTTCTGAAGCTGCCCTATGTTTAGTTGATATTGATAAACCTGATATACAATTACCTGAAGAACTACCAATTTTCCCACATCGGACACCTTTCATTGAGGAATTAAATCACATTTTAGATAAACATCAGGTATACCACATTTTTCTTGCATACTTTTTTTGTATTTAAAATATTATTTACGTCAATTTTTTTTTTTTTTGCATCAAAACGAGTTCTATCTGATTAAATGTTTATGTTGTAGTAATAAATAGATACAAATGTTTTTTTAAAGATTCAAAGACCAGAGACTGAACCGACTAAACTTGGTGTACCGCTAAATGGAAATTCTTACAAGCATATGAATGACAGCATGAGTAGCAGCTGTACTTTACCTTCAGGTGAGACATTATTGTTATTTATTTACATGCACTTACATTATTATAATATTATTTATAATTTCATATTACACATTTTATTACATATAGGTTTAATAATTTATTTATTAAGAAATATTCGTGATTCGGAAGTTTTAAACACTTGTTCCAAAAAGTATATTTGAAGTTAAAAAATAATTTTGTACTTTTCGTTATTATAAGAAATTTTTAAGTTTTTTTACCATGCTACTTGGAAAAAGTTATTCAGTTTCATATACAACACTATCACTGGACTTCGACTTGTTATTTATAAATGAAATACGCCAGCAGTGAGGGAGGAAGGAATTGTTAGTAATGAGGACTAGCGGCACCTTTATTAGTAATACACAGGTCGACCTACATGCGGTATACCCTAGAACAGGAGTTCCTAAACTTTTAAGATAACGGAACACCCACCAAATACCTTTTATTTTATGGAACCCCATATCAAACGATTACAAATCAAAAACACTGTAATTTAAATAAAAACAAAGCTTTTATTATAAATATTTAAGAAGTATAACACTATAGTTTCCTTTAATATTTAATGTGAAGAATGAAATTTTTGACACAATCTGTTACACTGTATTTATTTATGATACCCCTGGCAGGTGGGCTACGACGTAAACACTCGTTCCACGACGTGCTGGAGTGGGAAGAAAGTCGGCCGCTAAACGCATCTCCACCCGCCTCTCCTACACGCCGCGCCCCGCTCCGCCTCGACTCATTGCAACGGATCGTTGATATTGTGAAACGCACCGGTACATACTGCATTCAGTCACACCTCTCAGAGAGAAGGGACTAATAGTAATTCGGGCTAACAGCCCTATAGCTAGTAATATATACTATCAGATAAGCCCACACATGGTCTCTTATAAACAAAATGTATTATGGGGGAGTGAATGCGATAAATTCTGTTGGACTCTTACTAGTTTAAACCTCAGTACTCCATCTTATTTAATATATGGCTGAGGCTAAGGTATTGTAGTAGTTATTGACCGAACAAGCGATTAACTTAAGTTTTGGAGGAATCCCTCCCCCTTCCTCCGAAACTCAATATATAGCGAGAGATATACTTGCTACTTGTAATACCGCACCATAATGTATTTCTAAAACTTTCTTTTTACTATTTACTTAAAATTCCTTAGGTGTTAACATCGACGATGTGGACGCTGATACAGTAATGCCAACATTAAAGAAGAAAATACTCAATGATGAAGAACAGTACAATGAAGATATTCGTTTTAATATAGCCATTAGAGAAACCTTCCTTAACAGATTCGTACATATGTTCCTTATGTACGAGAACTTTGTCATAATGCCTGATCAGGTAATTATAAAGTTATTAATAGTATATTGATTATTTCCTTATTAACCCTGCCCGCGTGACCGCGTGTCCATTGGCCAAAAAAAAAGCGCACGACTACATACATAATTACAAGAATTTAAATTAATTGTTTTTAATGTTTGTATGTATTTTCGGAATATAACAAATGAAATTATTTATTCATCAAGTGTATAAGAATCTGATAGAATACTTGTTGTTTACTAAAACAAGAAAATATTATTGAAAATTATACTTACTAGTCACTAAATAGAGAATGCATGAAAAGAATGTGGCAATGTTGGGTAACAATCAAATAGAATTTCGTCGAATTTTCGCAGATTCAACTTCTACTATCACATATATAATACCTTGCTCTTTTTCGTTTTACTTAAGTCTGGCGTAGTACTTTAAACTCTTATATTATTGATTAAACATTTATATTATTGATTTACTGGATTTATAATAATAATAAATATTGATATTCAATTATAAAGATCAAATATTTATAGATGATAATATATGATAATATCTCACCTATATGGTGTATAATTTTCATTTTTAGACTAAGTATCTTAAATCATCAAAAATAAAAAGATACAATTTTATCAAGCGACGGCTTATATAGTTATCTACCAATACGCTTTTCAAAAAAAAATATAATAGTTATTTTACGAAATTCAATCCCAAAAATTTTTAATAAAATCTTTAGTAAATAAAATGTAGTAGGTATTTAATACAAATACAATAATTAGTGTAAAAAAAAAAAATATTTCAAGGTATAATAATAAATTTGTGGTAGTCATAATAGTAGGTAAAATTGAGCGATTTATATACAGTTACAGTTCATAAATCCCTCTGACCGCACCATTAGCGTTAGTGAGTTTTGAGGTTTTGAACTAAAATTTTATTCAAAATATTCCCAGCTACATAAATTGATGTTCATGAAAGAATGAACTTACTAGATTTGATTTTAAATAATTATATTTACTTTTTAATTAACACATGTATCACTGTAAAACTTGCCTTAAATTACCAGCAACTCACAGGCATAAAACTTCAATTCAACAATGATTATGTATCAAATCTAGTCATTTGTGAAAATATGAAAATCGAATATTTTATTAAACTGTGTGGAATTAATTCCACATTTAGAAAAGTGCCAGAAGTATGCAAAAATAATTATGTATTAGTTACCTTTCAATTTCTTGATAAAGACACACAGTAAAATCTATTATATAATAAAATGATCTATAAAATCTATAATAATATTACAGTTATATATTTTTATGTTCACAGGATCGAGATTCTTGGCTTTCGGCCCGCGAATCAATGATAAATTTCGATAAGGCATCTTTCTTATCTGATCAACCCCAGAGGCATAGACCTTTTCTCTCACGGTTTCTCGAAACTCAAATGTTCGCTACGCTTATAGACAACAAGATTATGGCTAATTGGGGTGAATATGATGCCAATTTACAAGTTTTCGAACATCGAATAAAAGCGGTCAGGTATGTATCGCTATATATAACATTAAAGATTTAGTAAATGCGTAGTTTTTAATGCATTAATTTTTATGTTTAATTTAAAGAAATATGAGTCGTTAAAATGTTAAATTATCCGTCATAAAAGTGCACAGTCGCTTTATAAATACTAACTTCATAGGTGAATCAGATAACTAAAAATAGGAATGTGTTTAGATAACAGGCGTTAGACCCGGGTTGAGCACGCATGTTAATTTTGTTTTGTATACTGTCCATACAACCTGCGCTTGATGGGTGTTAAACGCGCGCGTGATTACTCACGCGTTGAACCAACTCGTGTCGAACACCTGCCCTACCATAAACGTACCATAAATATTTAACACAAAAAAGCACGTAAAGGGACATACTGCATCTTGCACGTTTACCACAAGAATATTTAATTTGCAATGAGCGTGGAAAAATGTCACGAGCTTAACGGGTATCTAGCGTCGTCAAAGACGAGTTCGCCCCGAGCTTTCGCTTCGGGAGTAAGGAGAGGTTTGTTGCAGGCGGCGACTGGGCGAGGGTGGGCTAGCGACGCGCGGGTACAGCGTGTGGGCGGGCGGGGCGGGGTGCGGGGGTGGCGCGTGCGCGGGGCTGGGGGCGGCCGAGCTGGAGGTGGGCGCGCCGGGCGAGCGGCTGCCGCACCGCGCGGCGTACTACCGCGCATTCCCCGCGCGGCTGGACGCGGCCGCGCTCGCGCCGCCGCCGGTCTCCGACCGCAGGTGCGTCGAGCCGCCGCCCCGGGACACAGCCGATCCCACAGGGACTCCCCCATTCTCTGATTATGCAGCTGCTTTTTCGTTTCACATGTAGATGGGACTGACACACAAATCTCCCCCCCCATAATTAATAACCATAATTTGCAACCCATAATGTACAACATATATTTGAGTGAAAATGCAATCTCGTGGATAATTAATGTAAATGCATTTCTTACTTTAACATAGGTGTGAAGAATGTTATGTTCTCTCTGTCATGTGCAACTCTAAGTGGAAACTGTCAGATAATTTAGATACTTAGTTCGCGCCAGTGCAATAAACGCAGCTTTAAAATAATTTCAGTACTTCACTAATGTGAACATTCTAATTTATCTTAACGACGGCTTCACGTAAATTGTTCCACGATTCTTCCATGTCCTTTTTAAAATATTTTAAATTCTACTTAAGTCTTTATTGAGATATGTGTCGTGTTCATATTTTTATTTAAAGTAATCCATGTACAGTAATTAAATTCGTTGGTTATTTCCATGTAGAATAAAACATATAATTATTATTAAAGCAGTTGCATTATTGGAGTTAACATTACCAAGCGTTCACGAGCGAGAAAACAGAATGTTTGTTGCTTAGTTTTTGCATAATATTAACATTTAATACGTATATTAAATGGCCTACCAAAAACCCAGACGACCAATTAATACGATAAATATTAAATACAATTGCAACGTCTAGGGAAATATATATATAAATCATAGTAAAATCCGTTTTCTCAGTCGTAATACGCATGCCATTTTGTTGGTATCGGTGTTCACGTCCACATTGTCAAAACACACTGAGTACCAACCGAGATAACATAGTGTAGCTATAACTTTGAGTTTAGTTATACATCTGAAAATAAAGCAACTTTTAATATTAGGTACTAACACTAGTTAAATAAACCTACACGCCTAATATCACTTGTATACTTAATAATTTATTGCAATAAAATGTATAGTACACAACGCGTGACCGGCTTTTTAAGACGTTGCTGGGTGCTCTTTTCGCGCTTTTAAAAAACACTTATACATGTGATAAAGAAATGAATTTGTTAACTCGGTTTACTTAGTATACATACGTTTGTTCATGAATGGATACAGTTTAATAAATTGCCCCGCTTTATGTGATAGCATGCGATTGTATCAGCCTGAAATGTGGTTAGTGATTGTTTATATTATTACATCAAACGGTACTACCATGTAGTGCATAATTTATGTAAGTTTTTATTTGTAGGAACTGTGATTACTACTTTATATACAATTTTGTCTTGAGCATTTAATTCTATTTGTGATGAAACTTAAAAAATTTAAGTAAAAACGTAAAATGTGTAAGTAAAAATGAAAGCCCCGAATTATTTTCATCTAATTTATTAAAATTAACTGCTCTAGACATTCGTGAAAGGTGTATTAAGAATGTACCAAATATTTTTGGTAGCTATTTAGAATCTCATCAATCATTTTATTATTGTATTATTTATTATATTAATTTGTTTATAATAATAACCATAGTAAAAATATGCATAATATGGGAAAGTCTATATCGAATTTACATTTAGTGAATTATTTAATAGAATCTGACCTATTTTTCAGTAATCTCATTTTAATTGTAATACTCAATTTGGACATTATTTGTGAGATACTCTATGTAATCTTAATTTTCTTTTTGTAAAATTTCTCTTCTAATGTGTACCTTGATATTTCTGAAATGGGTACTGGTGATAAGTATTTTCAAATTATATTATGATTTCGTAATGTTATTCGTTGTTTTTAGGTATATAGTCGAAAATAGAACACATTATTTGAGGATGGGGTAGTATTGGGTACTGGTAACTACAATCTAATGATAGTTAGTAATTGTAATAGGAAATTTTATAATATCCTTTTGTTACCTCTATTTTGTATTAACATTAAGATTCTACACAGCAAAAAAAATAAAACAGAAAATATTTTTAAAGTCAATATATTAGATTACATACAACAGCCCAATTGAGAGTCTAAGTGCGGAAATGTCTGGACAAACTAAATATAACAGCATTTTTAATACTGATATTCAGATTTTTTCAAATTTTCAGTTTATTCAGAAGTGTATTTCTTAAAATATAGATGTACCAATTCATTTAAATTGTCATGTTATAATTTTTTTATTGCAAGTAAAAAAATTTGAAGGATTAATTTTTTATTACATATAAATATATACTTACAGAATATTACAAAATAACAACATAATATTATATAACTATGGTAATGAGTTGAGTTCTCGCTTTTATTACCATTACATTTTTTTTATTTTTTATTGCGATAGTGTAGTAGTGCCTTGTAGTTACAAATAAAATTTAAAAGGTCCCTGACGTACTGGAAACTGTTAAATCGATTGCATCGATCTATCCAACATTGTTAAAAATTTTCATGAATAATCACAAAGATCATTTTCGTGTAATGTACTTGTAACAACTAGGAAACACGCGTTAAGTTTAAAGCAATTTAAACTTATTATACCTTTCCGTTTACGACTGGGATCGAAATTGGGAAAATTTATGATAATATAACAAATGTTAACTGTTCTGAGTAATTTAAATTGATTTGTTGCAACTTGCATGTTATTGTAATAAAATAATGCTACTTTTTTTTTAAGTTTACCAGCCCTCGTATAAGGGCCTCGTATAACAGCATCGTAAATAGCAACTCTATTGTTGATTTAATGTTATACTTGTTTATATCAACATTAAATCTTGTTTTCTATTGTGAGTACAAAGTGACGTGTTCGATCATTGCATGAAATTTCATTGCATTAGGAACTTGATTGTTGACACTCGTGCGATAACTAATGACACTCGTGAGTAATGTTGGAACTCATGAATTATTTTCCCAAAAGAATCTTTATTTAATTAACAGCAATTGTTTATGTATTTGACATTTTTATAATCTCGTTTTGTTATTACTATTGTAAATTTATTGTTTTACATTTAGATATCGCCTTCGATTAATATTTTTGGGCATAATATATTCGTAGTTAATATTACATGTTTGTGATAATTTATAACTTTATATGCATGTTTTGTTAACATTGCATGAAATTAATTCGTATTATGGATATAATACAGTATTTATTTTTAGATGTTTTATAAATTCTTTATTAACATTTTATTGATCTATAAAATTGATTTTTGAAATCGTTAGATATTTATTTCAATTTATTAGTAGATAGTTAATTAGAATAGATTCGTTATAAGATTAGATGAACAATATATATAATTACGTTGAAATAATATGTTTACCTTAATTGTTATTATCCGGAGATTTTACGTTAGGATAAAAATATGCAAACAAAATTATACTTGTAATATCCAATAAAGACTTTGAAATGTACAATATTGTATTTTGTATATTAATCCACCTATCCCCTAGTTAGTAAATTTTGCACTTTGTAATAGATGCATACCTAGTACTGTAGTAATGTTGATTTGCAATTGCTTTAGCTTTGTGTGCTTGCTTTTTAATTTTATGTGCATGTGATTTCTCATGAGACTGGTATATAATAGTAAATAATTAAACATTTCAGAACAAACAGTTTAAAACGTATAAAGAACGCGAAATGGCAAGTAAAGGATTGTCCACCCGAATTGTTATTAGGAGATATTAGTAGGAGGTTGTCTACAGAAGTCACGCCTAACGCCATTGCTCAGAATCACAAGACATTTGTCGAGAAACTGCTCAAGGTGTGATTATAAATTTTACATCGTAAGATTAATTTAGTTAATTTAGTTTCATTTCTTATTTAACTTATAATAATATATCTTTTTAGGAGTGTAAAAGTAAAACAAAACGCATGCTCCTGGAAAAGATGGGTACAGAAGAAAGTGACTTAGGTTTTGGTTGTGAAGTGTCAGTAACCGGAGTAGAAGAAAGTACTATGATTGCCTCATTATGCGATTTGCTGGAGAGACTCTGGTCTCATGGGTTACAACATAAAATGGGAAAGTCCGCGTTGTGGATGCACCTCACCAACTACCAAGAGTTAGAACAATGCAGTAATACAACGAAACCAATCGATCCTAATTACCTTACGCCAGGTACGCCTCGACTGTTATACAACTGGAAATTTAAATTTATTTTCTTACTTCAAATAAATTGCCTATAAAGGTTATTAGTTAGTGTCCTTTGACACTATCATTGGTTTGTCTTGGTATAAAGTACATACTTATTATGATGATTGCTCCTAATTTGGTTCATTTATTTCTCAAATGAGATAATTCTTTCAATTACTTTGGATCATGCAGCTTTGGCCTGGTGTGTGTTACGCAAACGTCTGGATTGTAAGTAAACATCTGTTTTAACCATTGTGCAGTTTATAGTAACCCTCATTGTACCTAATTATTATCTACTTAATTAAATATATGCATAAGACGAGTTATGGAATTTATTGAAATAAAATATGTGTGTGATAATATAAACTTTTAGCGATGTGATTATCTCTGCCTACCCCGCAATGCACCTGTGGGAAATCAAATAATTACTTATCATTAAGCACATCATATAATCTGTCAGTATCAATTATAAATATATTTCCGACAATAGATCTATCTTCTGTGGGTGCCGAGGTGGAGGCTCAACAAAGTACCAGTAGTGGTAACAGATCCCGCGACAGTTCTCGCGGTGGTTCCCGTGATAGTTCTCGTGACCGCCTCAGCAATTCTGGAACTTTAGAACGGAAGTCATCTCAGCCACCAAACCCACTGCGGCCACTTCCGGAGAGTCTTACATTTGACATGAGGTACGACTTACAAATTTAAAAGTTTGTTATTTTATATCTGTCTAGCCTTCATCCCCGACTTCTTTCATGCCACCGGGATATTTGTTTTTATACAACTTAGAATGGCAAACAAGATTCCATGACGATAAGTTAAGTCATTAAGGCGCCAAGACGCAAATAAACTCCTTTTTTAATATTACATCACATTTATAATATTATACTCTCTCCCTTATTTATAAACATAAAATTAATCTGTTCTGTAGCTTTTTAACGAGTGTAGCTCAAATCACTGTGTCGTATTTAGTAATTAAAATTATATTGTCTTTAATATAGATATATGATAACTAAATAAATGTATGGTATATGGTTTAATACAATGACTGTAAGATAATTAAATATTATTAAATTTTGAAGTTTTGAAGAAAAATAACGAAAATACTTTCAGAAATGTCCAAGCTATGACAGACATAAAGACTGAGATTGGTTATGCTCGTGCATGGGTGCGGCTGTCCCTTGAGAAGAAATTGCTGTCAAAGCACCTTCGAGAGCTGTTAGCTGATACAACTTTACTGCGTTCTCAATACAAGCGAACGGCTTTCCTGCGCTGCGAGGAAGAGCGGGAACAATTTCTATATCATTTACTGACTTTAAATGCTGTTGATTATTACTGTTTCACCAATACGTATCCGACTACAAGTAAGATCATATCATATTTATATACATAGATATAAATACTAAATAGGATGCGTCAGGTCAACAGTGACCGTATAGCTATTACCTATTTATGCATCTTTTTATGGAATGAGCAGCATTCTCACATAGTGAAATATGTTCAACGTTGCATATATATATATACATCACATAAGTGTAGTCTAAAATACGGTCAACAATAATTTGCTGAGGCCCCTTAACAAAAATCTATAGCTTTTTATTTTCTTTTTATTAAAATTGCTAAAAATATGTTAGAATTATAAAAAAATATGGAATTTGTAAATTATTTTTCGAAAATCAGATGTTCTTACTTATTCATAATAACTTCATCTACATTTTTTTTTTGTGGATAAAAATGGAATGGTAACCCCACCTGCGCTAACGGGATACGCTGGCGGAGCACCAGTGAAGCGTGATTGATGAGAATGAAAACAGGCCAGTTAGCCTACCATGATGAATTCATCAGGAATTAATCATGATAGTTTCCAAGGGGAACCACAAGGAGGTCGACCTGGTTGGGTATATTGCTAGCAATGGGATTTTTTAGTCTCCATTACTAACAATCCCTTTCCCCTCTAATGTATATATTAAATAGCATTAAAATTATAAATATGTATTGTTTTACAGAATTGCCGTATCGCGTTCTGATTGTTCCGTCCCGCAAGGCGAGCCAAACTACAGCTAACTGCTGGATAGCGATATCAGGTGCAAACAGAGAGTCTACGCCCAAAATACCCATACCACGTAACACCAATGAATTTGTTTTCCATGTAAGTAACGACGTATTATCATATCGGCCTTTATCTGTCTATTGTTGTACATAGACCTTCTCCATAAACTACCATAATCAGTCCTAAACCACCTGCATCCACTGATTTCGATGTTTTTTTTAATTTTTTTTTTATACAACTTAGAATGGCAAACAAACTGACGGCCCACCTGATGGAAAGTGGTAACCGTCGCCTATAGACATGAGCAGTACCATGGACATAACAGAGTATACTGTTTCACCCATGATACCCCCCATGCGTTGCCATTCCTGAGGACTCAGGTGTTATTCCTCTGTACCCTGTAAATTCACGCCATATCCCACCCTTCAAACCGAAACACAGCCATGCAAACACAACTGCTTCACGGTTGAAACACGAATGGGACAAAGGTACCCAAACAATCGACTTTTGTACATCAATACTATATATCATACGTAACTCCTTCCGCGTGAATTAGTGTAACATGTTATATTTGTAATATACCTGTTTTAATATCAAATATCATTGTCATTCGTTTTGATTACACGAATAACAATAACCAACATAATATTAACAATAAGGTTTAACGTCTTTTTAGGTGAGAAACACATACCCTTGATCTTTATTGCATAATATTTGTTTCCTAATACTGATATTTCACTATACGTGAAAAACCTTTTTAATTAAACTAGTTATTGTTTTTTTTTTTTTCAGCACAAGAATTTGGGAATATTATCAACATTACGTATAGGACACGATAATTCTGGACTATCACCGAGGTGGTTGCTTGATCAGGTGTATGTACGGAACGAAGTTACAGGACACACTTATACGTAAGTGTAGTCACAACTAATGAACAGAACTTTCATAGTGCATACTACTGCGTAAAAGAATTTATTGTTCAGCTTATGCTGAGTGACACGTGTGTACTCGACATTGATTTTCCGCTAAAATTCGACTACCCTTTGATTACAAAGTAGACAAAATTGGCCTGATGATCATGATCATCTGAAATAAAACAATACCATAATTTTGAATTAACGCTATATTTCAGATTTATTTCACATCTTCTTTTTTTGTACTATCTATAAATATTACACTGTTTAATGTACTTGTAATTAGCGTCACTATAACTAACTTATATCCAATATTAATAAAGGTTTATTTAATTTAAAAATGTAAATTGTAATTTACATAAATACAATAACATATCTCATTATTTTTCCCGGGCGGACTTAATGCTAATTATAATAGTATATCTTAGATTATATAGATAGAGCATCGAGCTTCAAAATCGGGACAACTTTTTGTCAGCTAATTGCCAAATTAGTTGACTCGTTTTTTTATCAGTATTATATACACTTACGCATAAAATGTATCTTGACATATTGTTTAATAAATAAAATTAGTATTTACGCATTAAAACGATGCTGTATTTATAAGACAAAATAATAATAGAAGTTAGAAAGAAATCACTCAACTATTTATCACACAAAATTGTATGAAAAAGTTGGCCCCGTTTTTCTCGAAGCATTTCTATAAAGACACTATCTATATAATCTAAGTGGTATATTAACACTAGTATAGTATATTAAGTATATATAGAATAGTATAGTAAGTATGCTAGGTAACGCGGTGATTTTTCCACTTCTCCATGACGAGTATACTCGTCAATCACAGTTAACTGGTTAAGCTACAGTCGAGATAAATCGTATAACTGCGACTCCTACCTTTAAGCTACAGTCGAGGTAAAGCGTATTACTACGACTCCCGCCTTTAAGCTACAGTCGAGATAAATCGTATTACTACGACTTCCGCCTTTAAGCTACAGTCGAGATAAATCGTATTACTACGACTGCCGCCTTTAAGCTACAGTCGAGATAAATCGTATTACTACGACTCCCGCCTTTAAGTTACAGTCGAGATAAATCGTGATACGACTCCCGCCTTTAATGTATTAGAAAAGAGAACTGCATTCGATTCAGTTTCCCGTGCAACCGGTGGCTGGGCACGGGCGTGGACGACGGGTCGACGGAGCGGCTGCTGCTGGCGGCGCGGCTGCGGTCGGAGCGCTCGCCGCGCACGCCGGGCCGCGCGCCGCCCGCGCCCGCCGCGCCCGCCGCGCCGCCGCCCGCGCCCGCTGCGCACGCGCCGCACACGCCCACCACGCATCTGTCCACCTCCACCATACAACATATGATCGGTTTGTATTTTTTTTTTTTATAAAACTTTTAAGCTAGCTCTACCAGAAGGAGACTTTGTACAAAAGTCGATTGCTTGAGTACCTCTGTCCTATTCGTGTTTCAAACCGTGAAGCAGTTTTGTTTGCATGGCTGTGTTTCGGTTTGAAGGGTGGGATATGGCGTGAATTTATTGGGTACAGAGGAATAATACCTGAGTCCTCAGGAATGGCAACGCAGGGGAGGGGGGTATCATGGGCGAAATAGTATACTCTGTTATGTCCATAGTACTGCTCATGTCTATAGGCGCCGGTTATCACTTTCCATCAGGTGGACCGTCAGCTTGTTTGCCATTCTAAGTTGTATTAAAAAAAAAAAACTTTCAGTTTATTTTCCGCGGCTGAAAATCGGCAGCCTAGTAGCCATATTTAACGTATCTTCGGTCGCGTACCTACTCGAGCGTATAACGCGGATTGTTCACCGAGTATACCGTGTCACATAACGTGCCTCACAAAAGGGAATGGGATTGTTAGTAATGGGGTCTAATTGCTATTGCCCTATTGCTAGCATAACATCCTATCAGGTCGATGTCCACGCGGTGCCCACTAGAAACCATCGTGGCCACTTCTAGTGGAATTCGTGACGGTGGGCTAACTGACCTGCTATCATCCTTACCTATCATCCCTCACGGGTGCCTTGCCAGCGTATACCGATGGCGCAGGCGGGATTACTTTTTCATTATCACACATTAAAAAAAAGTGCCTTACATGGCGTTCCGTCGCGTTACGTCGACGTAATGATCGATCATCCGCGCAATAAACAAACCTTTATTATTCCTCTCAATCTTAAGATCGTCTGGAAGAAATCGCTATTTAAAGATGAGGTCACCTATTGTTGTCTTTTTATCATGCTTCTATGGAATTTAATTTTCTGTTTTTATTTGAATGAATAAATGAATGAGTATACTTTATTTACATTATACAATATAGGAAATAAGCAAGGCAATTTACGAACACAACGATACAATTGTATAAGTACAGTAAGGCGAACTTATTGCTGAGAGCAATCTTTTCAAGACAACCTTAAAGTGATTTTTTTATTATATACTTATATCTTATTAATATATTATTAGGGAACAATAAACAGTTTTCATTCATTTATTTATTCAAAGACAAAAGAAAACAATATTAATTGTCATTTGTATGATAAGACAACAAAAGATTGGGTAATTTATAGTACTAAATTAATTTCTATTGTTAATGTTATTAATTTTACGTTTCTTTTCAACTGCACTTTTTTTGTTTATTTATTAAAAAATTCTTTCGTCAAACGTATATATTAGATGCATAATTTAATGTTTAAAACTAGCAATGTTCACGAGTTCGTTCGTTAATGCATCAAATAAGATTCTATTATCTACGTATTACTTATACTACATATGTGACATGTGACAAACTTGCAGGGTCAATTCGGAGCCTTTTTAATTACAGGTGACTGTGTAAATGCCATAGTCAAATGGCATTATCAGTCCAAAAGAGAAAAAGATGCAAACTCCCTCAGTGTACTGCTGTGCGGTGAAAATGGTTTAGTTAAATGCTTGGAACAAGCTTTCCTTTGTGGATTCAAGTCGGCTCGTCTATTCGGCAAGAATCTCTTCATTTGGGATTACTTTGGTAAGTATTGACCTATATGTACTAAATATTATTTTGCTGATGTTCGTCTCATCAATTCCTTGATGTATAATGTTATATTAATATTAACATACTTAACGCAAACATTAATATATCTTATCTAGAACTCTGAAGTTGCTGGATTTACATAACACTGTAACATGTTGGCAATGTTAATAAAATGAGTTTGTACAGTCGCTTGATGTTACAGCGAAAGCGAAAAATTTGTCTTTTTTTAAGCAATTAAGAATGGCAAACGAGCTGTCGGTTATGATACTAAATACGACATCTATAATAAAGATCCCTCCACTTTTTGTTTTCATTATATCACTTTGTTACCAGCACGGGTGAAGGACGAGTTCAAAATGAGCTTATGCGACGAGCCAAGTCCCCAGAGTAACAAGGGGTGTGGTGTGGCGTACAATTGTAGACAAGACCAGGAGCACAGGTCTATTTGGCGATGCTACTGCCACCTAATGGACGAAATCAGCACCGCTGGCCGTACGCTGGGCAAAGATGGGAAATTTCAACTTTTCATATGTCTTAGCTTACGGTAAGTGCCTATTTACCTACAGAATAAAAAGAGATTTTACCTATAGAATAAAAAGGATAAAAAATACCTTGTATGTTAATCTCAGGTATTTTTTAATGCATGATAATGAAATAATAACCCCGCCGGCGCAAACGGTTTACGCTGGCGGGCCACCAATGAGAATTGATAGATGAGAATGTAAAGGCAAGTTAATAACCCCATCGTGATGAATACACCTGGAATTCAGCACGATGGTTTCCAAGGGAGCCCATAGTCAGTGGAGGTCGACCTGATAGGGCATATCGCTAGCAATGGGACTGGTTGTGTGCATTACTAATAATCCGTTTCCCGCAATACAGGATATTGTCTATTGGTCCGTATATGTACTAGATTCCTTTTAAATTTATTCCGCCGGTTAGATGTAAATGAGCAACAGACATCTAAAAATCTATGGTAACCTACAAAGTATATCTTATTAACGTCGTCTGGTATCCACGACTGCATAACCTGCGCTAACACTGCAATAACTAAATATATTCATTTATATATTATAGATTTATCTGTCTTTCGCATAACCGATATATTGATTATCTAAAATAAACCCGTTATTCCAAATACTACTTGTATATCAAATTATTTGATGGTGGTTGAGTCGTTAAGACCCTAAGAGGTCACATACAAACTCAAACTTACATTTACAATATTTATAAGGAATAATAACACTTTTACTTTATTATTGTTTTCATTTGTTTTTTCTTACAGAGAGCATTGGCTCCATCGAATGCTAGTGCCAATGTCGATGACCCGCGTTACAGTTGAAATGTATGAAGAACAAAGTTTTCTGCGCAAACGCGGTCTCCTTACTTTCCTCAGGCAGATACTGGAGCCACTAGATGAGTTTGACATTGTTTTAGAGAACTCTCTCACTCAAGGCATTTAAATTGTTCTCAGCGTAGAATTAAAGCTCCCTGAAACCAATTTCATTTATTACTGTATTTTGTCATTTTTAAATTAAGAATTTGAAGAAAAAGATAACATTGACGTTTATACGTTTTTTGACTAAAAAACGTAAAGGGTAAAAGTACGGTCATTTGATATCTACGCCTTTTTATCGAATTTTAATATCGAATTTAATTTGCATTTCCTATTTTTAAATAATAATCTTAATGTATTAGATTTATCTTTCAGTGTTAGATTTCAACAGGCGTTTATAACGAATATGATCGTACTTATTTCTTTATTATGTACAGTGATACATGAAATATAAACTTTTATCTTCCATCCTTTATCAATAGTTGTAGTATCGAGTCAAAAAAATATTTAGTACTTAGATTTTATTGAAATGTAATATAAATTAATGGTTAAACCAGATTCATGTGAGAAAGTTCTGTAAATCATTTCCATCCTTTGTAAAATGGTTACAACGCAAAGAATAGTGTATAAGTAATGTGAAATACTCATAGGTACTTATAAGTTACCCAAAACTTATGAAAATGATATTATTTCTTAAGGTCTGATTATTTTGTACTTTTCTTATTATTAAGTTTCAAAGTGATGGTTGTGTTAACTTTACGTATGATGTTGTCTTGCCAGTTAAACCCAAAGATTATTTTTTAGAACGGTGCTTATGTTGAACTTTACCATTTGCCTTTATGGTATTTGTTTTTTTTTATTTCATATATGTTTTTTTGTGAAAATTTGATGAAATATTGCATAAAATATTCCATTAAGATATGTTTAATATTAAAATACTCATTAAAAATTTTGTTCCATTAATAACTGTGTTCGTTATATTTTGCTAAATTAGTGTATAAGGTGTAATGTTGTTGGAATAGAAACCTCATCATAATACATAGATTATAACTTTTATTGCAGATGCAGCTTGTCAAATTTCAATTTATTATTATCTAAATTTAGATACTAAAGAGTATAGACTTATGCCTATAGTACTCTTATGTTCTCTTCTCTCATTCCTTAATTTTTGTATTTTATGTAAAGTATTCAACATATTCGAGACAGCTTATTTAAATATAATTCAATGCGTTTCTCCAATGTATGCTTTAAGTTAAATGGTTATATGTGTAATGGTTATATGTAATAATATTTATTAATTAATATCTGTGTGTTGATACTGCAATATGTTGTATGTCATACATTACTTCGTCATGTATTCGGTACGACTGAAATTCGTGTCACTTATTTTCCTGAAAATGTTTTATCAGTAAAGAATAATAAAAACCCAACGGTAGTTTATATTTATACGCCAAGTCACTTTACGGGTTGACTAGAAAAATTCAAGTACGAACAACCTCTATTCACTAGTGGAAATAGATAAAATTGTAAATTATGTGCATTTTCATAGACACTCATAATAAAAAAAAAAAAACAAATAATTAAGAACAATCTAGTTGGGTAACTACAAAGTGAAATACATGAGTAAATCTGATATAAATATTCTTTTCCTAACATGCGACAAATTGAAGTATCAATAATGATTATTCATAAACTTTTGTTACATTTAATTACTTCAGGCAAAAGTAAATCGCATTGAATTTTGTCTGTGCGACCATAAAACTTATAATACGATTCATTGTAATTTATACAATAATCATGACATTGTCAAAAAAACTTAGATATTAATTTGATGTCACTAACTCTAAGAGGGTATGTGCAATTTCCTTTTTAAGTGTAAATTCCGTACCGTCCTGCATGTTTACAGATTATAATAATTTCAAAATCTTGTTCGACTCAGTAGTTATGTTATGACTTGGAATCTCATAGGTTAAGGACCAGTTTGTCTATCGCTAAGTCGATTGCCATATCAAATTCAACCTGATGCAAATATCTTTAATGTCGAAATGCTATTTTTCTTTGAGGGAAGCCACTTGTATTTACAAATTTATTTGTCCACGGGCGTTGATTTTGTTTATTGTATTTCATAATTATAACACGCTTCACTGATAACCTACTTTATTTTATATGTATATATATATATATATATATATATATATATATATATATATATATATATTAACGAGCTTTGAATAATATATATATGATGACAGTATAGTATAGATATTATTTTTATACTGTCGTCATATAGCCACTTCCACTATTTAAAAGGTTTGAACGATACCTCATTTATTAAAATATCTCAAGCCATTTAGATGATGAATTTATTTTTTATGTCCATACGTCCCTATGTATGTACAGAAACCCAAACAAATATCCTTCGCTTGGCAGTTGGGCAAAAATTAAGAGTGTACGTGATATTAAATTATCGAATATTTACCTACGTTTATCTAAAAAATGCACCTTATTTACCTTAAGAACCTTATTTTATGAAGCTTAATCAAATAATTTTGGCTGTTACAAACGAGAACGAACAAAATGAACGTCTGTGGTTGGTCATAAATTGTACCTTCGCTGGAGCATAATAATAATATAAATATGATAATTATAAAGTAATAAATTTTACGTATTGTTAATTATAGTGCGGAGATCTTACTGAATACATAAATTGTATGATATACATTACTTACATTTTAATTTGCGACAAATGGAATTGTGATCCTAAGGTTTTAAAAATAACTTACATATATCGTTGAAAAATATTGTATACTACTTCGTATAACATTTATGCTACTATAAATACTGTATACGTTAGTAAATATACTGTGGTATTCGTAATGCCTTGATTACGGTTGATCCCACCCGTATCAATACACAATATTTAATCGTATAGAGTTAAAGTAAGTTAGTATAAAGAGTTTAGTGTGTACTGCATTCTTTATTTATTAATCTGCTCCAGTGAATGTGTTTTATTTTTTTAATGTAGTCTTTGTGCCAAAAACCAAACTTTGTAAAATAGTTTGGATATTTTAAAAATAATAATACATCATAAGAAAAATACGTTGTTCATATTTAGGTTATCATTACTTAATACTTTTAATTTCTAGCCATTCCTTTAAAATATTAACAAAAGAATCATAAATAAGTAATAAACTAAAATCTCTAACGGAGCTGGAGCCATATAGTTTCGACAAAGTGACAGTGGTGCCATCTAGTTAATTGATCAGTTCATATATTTTATTTTGTTTCAACGCGGACTGTTAAAATTGTGAAAACTGAACACGAATCACTGTCTATATCTCACAGGTGTTTAGAGGCTTTCGTTAAAATTAGTAGTTTCTTATTTGGGTACAATACGTTCCGTACCTATTATCACTATACGAACTTGTTTAAAGCAGCGTTAGTAGAATTTCATCAATATTAACAAGTTACAATGTGAGTAGAAAAAAAAATACCGAAATCGTATTACCTACGTTTTGTATGATACTATTTGGTTATTTGTTTTGTTACGATTATATTCCAGGTGCAGTATGATGTCAACGTATCGGAGTGTTACCCATGTATCAATATCTATTTGTATAACTGTTTCTGTCTTTCTATCAAATATGATAATTTTGTAAAACTCTTGTTACTAATCTTATAATTGTATATGATTGTCACCATTTATATACTTTGATAGTGCCTACTGTGCTATCACTAACTTAATAGTATAAAAACTTACACTTTACCCTTTGGCTACCCCAGAGACCAGATCAAAGATCACTGTACCTTTGATACCATATTATTTACACCCTTTGTTTCTCTTACAAACTTAATGATAAACAAAATCGTTGGTAATATTGTCTTCCGAGTCATTAAAGTTAATATTAATTTTATAAAATACTTGACCAAAGATTCCTTAAAAAATTGTCATTCATTGCAGACTACAATAAAAATGTCCATTAAAATTATCTGTAGTATGTTCTGTGTTTTTTTTTATATACTTACAGACAGCAAAAGTTGTGAGTTGTACTCACAACTTTTGCTGTCTGATGTACCTGATAGACAAAAAATTTTAATTTAAAATTGCCGGCTAACTCTGTTGATGGAATACCGATAACAAACCAAAGAAAATCGAGTCACGATGATAAGATAGTCCCTGCCATTTTGAATTCTATCCATGTATTATCTTTTCACTCAGCAGTCACTTCCAGACAACCTTTAGGTAAAAACGAAAAACTAAATACGGTAGCTATTTAGCGCAAGAAGTATATTTTATTTAAAATTGTATAGGTACCTTTTATCTTTTGCGCCAATAGTATACGCTGGCGGGGCACTAGTGAGGGATGATAGGTGATGATAAAAAGGCAGGTCAGTTAGCCCATCGTGATGAATTACTTAAAATTGAACATGATTCTTTCCAGGGGGAACCACGAGGAGGTCGATCGGACCCACCCTAGATTGCTAGTAATGGGCCTACTAATCCCCATTACTAACAATTCCTACCTCCCTATACCTTGTATCTGGATTTAGTAAGGATGGTAAATACATCGCTAATATAGAGCGAAGACTGAATATTGGAAATAGAATAAATGAAGTAATGAAGAAGCGATTTGGCAGCCACAATTTAAACCAACAGGCGCTGTTGGCCATATACAATTCAATAGTCATCCCTTATGCATTGTACGATAATGAGAGTTGGATATATAAAAAAGATAATGTAAGTTCAATAAATGCGTGTTATGATCAGATACACCGTGTTCTTTCTGAACGGGGAACCAATAATCTGTGGAACCGGCCTGCATAGTCGAGACGAGTTATGATGTCGCCGGATCATTATGATCTTAGATTATAGACCGATTGAAGGAAAAAGAGAACACTAGTAATGGCCTAGTGGCATACCGGAATATTTGTTAGCAAATTATATCCTGTCAGACTATCTATCTCCATCGACCTCCTTTGGTAATCATTGTTATTAATTCCTGGGGAATTTATCACAATGGCCAAACTGAATAGACCTGACAGATTCCCACTAAAGAGTAAAGAAAACGCCTGCATAAGTTTAATATAAGATATCTACGCCATGCCCATTGCGCAGTTTTAATCATAGATGACACGCACCATTTAAGATACCTTTCTTTGTTTACCATCTACCGTACCTAAAAAAGTTAGTTATTGCAATTTAATATTTCCGTAGCTACATAGTGTGTATCCGAACGTAAATATGTACAATGCGAAACGTTTTGTTATTTCATTTCTAGTTTTCAACTTATAGCAATATGGCTATATAATTAGTGTAAGTTTTAATATAATAAGTGCATGAACCAAAATTATATAAATGTGAATTATATTTTTATATTCACTAATTTATGTACGAACAGCTGTATACTTTTCAATACACGTATATATTCATAATTATTGTGTGATGAGGTGAGATTACTAAACGCTTTTCTAAACAAAACACCGCGAAATTCAATAGTTTTTGTTATTATTGATTTTTTATTTTTTTATAATGGCTTTTATGTAATTATTTTATACGGATAAAAATATGGTTTAACATATTTTTTTTATTTTTTGTGTCTGATTATTTGTAATTTTATTATTTTTGATTTACTAAAATAAAACTTTTGATTCATTTTTAATAGATGGCGCTATGTTGCTTGTTGTGTGCGGTCGTTCGACCGACAGATATTCGGCAAGTAAGATGGCGGCGATTAATGTGAAAGGCGAAACGTTGTCTTATTTCTACTTGTAAATAAAGAAATCGGTACATTTGATGATTTTACTGTTGCACAAATGCAGATATATTAATGTAAAAGTGAAATTTATACAGTGAACAGTTGTGTATGTTGTAAAATTGAAGTGGCTTTATTTCACAATAGACAAAACCCGTCGCAGCGAGCACCGAAGGAGTCGAGGCCATATTTATGATGTTATCTGTCGTGTGAGCGTCCTCCGAAACCACATTGATGAATGTTTTGTTGAAAACTAAAGCGATGGTATGTTTTGTAGCCTATATACGCACTATAAATTAACTGTTCAAACAAAAAAGATTCTGTATTCTTCCATCGCACCTTGACGCTTCCATGGCGAAGCGGCGGTATTTTTATTTCAATAACATTGTTCGACGAATCATTAATATTACTCTTTGCAGTGATATTGTTATTAGTCTTTCATAGTTTGTTCATAATTTACATAGTAATAATTATAATTTGATATAAACACTTATTGGATATCTAATAGAACCAGTATTAAAATCAAACAGTTGATTGTTATTGAGTGGATTAAAATAGTTTTGTTTTCTTTTTCAGGAGTGTATTTTACGACTAAGAATTTACTAATAAACTCAAGATGACAATCAGTGCATAAGTTCAGTGGTAATAACACATTTAGTGGCTATGGATGAAAGTGTGGATTTCAATTGACATATAAATACATTGATACCAAACAAAACATCACGGAGGTGGTAATGGATCCAGTAGGACCATGGTCAGCATATGCTTCATACAATCGGTTAGCAGGGGTACAGGCTGGTGCTGCAAGTGGAGACTTTCATCACCACCTAGCCAGTGGTGGTACAGGACTAGGCAGCCAGTCTGTGCCATCTACAACAAGCCAGTTGCTACTACAAGCGGCACATACTACGGCTTCATTGGCAGGGCAACTTGGCTCATCAACAGCATCCCCTTTTAATCCTGGGGGATTTCTTTCTCCACCTGCCGTTGGCTATGATGCAGTGTTCTCGCCACTTTTTCACCATGCAAATCCTAAACCTGCACATTATAGCTCTTCTCTTCAGGCCCAACATAGACAAGTAATAGCTCAAGCCGTTGCTTCAAAACAGTCATCAGTAGAAACAGAACTATCTTCATTACGAGAAAACTATTCTCATCAAACATTAGCTGCACAAGGAACATCATTTTTTGATCAATCGTCAACACCAGGAAGTACAGCCAGTTTAAGTTGGCAAGGAAATAATCAACTTCCAAGTCCATTTGGAATATTGCCTCATGAGAGTGTTGTGCCATCTTCGCCAAGTCCAGCTACAACGAAGGCATCTGCAACATATGAGAATTTTAATGCACATTTTGCTGCAGCACAAACACTCAACAATCATATCAACTCACAAATTTCAAGTACTGGTAAACAAACAAATAGGTCTGGATCACCAGCAACAGCATCAAAACCAGCATCTTCTACATCATCATCAACATTTTTTCAATCTCCTTCATCTTTTGGAAATCAGACTGATAACTCATATAGTGCAAGCAGTGCAAAGAGTGGTCAACTTTCATCTCAGCAGGATTATGCTGGAAGTAAGTCTTATTCAAGTTCTGCAAGTTCAACTTCTCATTCCCAACAATCGTGTATTGTGTCAACTCCACCTGTAACCTCTTCCTCTACACCACCAAGCAAAGATTATCGTTCAACCACTAACACAACCTCCCGACCTTCACCTTCCATTTACAATTCCCAATCACCTAAAAATACCAGCACTGAAAAATCTTCACGGCAGTCTTCAAATAGTAGTAGTAGTAGTTTTGTATCGCCCACATCAAAACCACCTCAAGTGCAAACGAAAGCTCAGAGTAAAATTTATCCTGAACTAAATAATGAACAAAGAAAAAGTTGTGACTCTAATGATAAATTGCAACCTCAGTCCTCGCCTATAAGTTATTCAATTATGGATGCCCCAGGAAGATTAAGCTACAGTAGTAGCAGTATTAATTCCTCTAAATCAAATCGTATTGGAAGTACCCAATATTCTTCCTCCCAGGGTTCAAGTTTTAGACATTATCAAAGTGGAAATAATGTTGAATCTGATTATCATGTTCGAGCAAAAAGTAGTTCTAGTACTGATACTGGTTATTCCAGTAGCAGTTCTCAAAATGGGCCTGATTGTAGTGTGGTTATAGCTAGAAGACAGAGTCCTTCACATGCCCCGCCACAAACCTCTCCTATTGGACATGGTTCTAGTCCTGCTTACCCCATGTACCATAGTCCTATGAATTCTATAAACTCCCCACAGCAACATGGTGATCATTTCAATAAAATCAATAATTCTGCACCCAGATCACCCTTGGATGCTTCAATAGCACGCCCTCCTTCACAAAATAGCCAGGTAGCTTATCCTTCTGTTATAACTAGAGCTTTAGGTATTGATCAGAGTAAAACATATTCTGAAAATAGATTTGAACGTACACAAAGCCAGTCTTCCAGTCAAAGTTGTTGGGAAAACGAAAGACAGTCGTCTAGGAAATTTTCTAATACCAGTAGTAACAATAATACTTATAATAATAATACTTTAGCTGAAAGCAACAGTCATAGTGAAGAAACTTCACAAACTCCAACCCACAGAACTTTGTCAGAGAAACATCAAAACTATTTTGATGGTAATAATGTAGCTTTACAAGATCTATCCAGTTGCAGAGGTGACCCCATGACTATAGTAAAAAACTTGCAAAGTTTACAGCAAAGTTGTCAATTACAAGATACAAAATCAAGTAAAAATCAAACCCCAATATCAACTCCTTCAGCATCTAGTAAAACTGTAACTCGAAGAAAGAGTACTGAAAAACCTGTCTCTCATACAAATATGAATGAAATATCAAATGCAGTAATGGCAGATTATCTAGCTAATAGAATTCCGCCACCGGCACATAGTTCAACTAGTAATCAACAACAAAATGGTAGTTATTTTGATTTTGAAAGATGGAACCTTCCACCTCCTCCACCTAAAATGTTTCCTGGCACTTCTGCTTTTGGATCCCAAGCTCCACTACATGCAACAAATTTTGCTAATCAACACCAAGCACTAGCCATGCCACATGGCCACGCATTAACATATTTCCCGCCCTTTCACCTAGGTCCCCATCCTGATTTCCAATCTTCTGTGGAGTTAACACCATTGTCATCTTTTAGCGAGACTCCACCTTCGGCTTCCTCATCATCTTTTTCTACGCCTGAAACTCGTGAAGAGGAACAGCCTAAGGTGGTAGTACCTAATATAGAGGAAGAACTTGGTTTCCTTGCAGAACAACGGGCAAATACTGCATCATCGGTAGCACCTACTTCACAGCAGCCGAATCTAAACAGCACTTCACAAGACGCTACTACAAAAATTATGGAAAAAAAATTCAATGTCCCAGTCACGGGCCCCGGTTCAGGTTTCATGGCTTCTTACTTGAAATTTTTGCAAGGGGAGCGGGATACATCTCCTCCGCCGGCCGGTCGAGGCGCCAGAAAATCGACATGGTCGAGAACTACTACTAACAGTAATACAAATAACAAGGGGTACACACAAAATGATCATACTAAAAGTCAGTGCGATGCCAATGCCACTCAGCAGAGCGCTAACGGCGCAATGACGTCACCTAATGTAATAAACACAGGGATGTCACTGAGTAATCCAGCTATGAGCTCTTCAACAAATATGAGCACAGCAGGCTTATTAGGTGCTAACCAGATTCATGGAACGTCGACAAATTTGCTCAGCTCACAAACGAAAGGTGTTGAATTGGACGACCCTCGTTATTATAATTTGAATAAAGATAGAAAACGTAAATATGATGGGAGTGAGGAGTCTGCTTACGATGCAGACGAAGAAGCGAGAAGGTTGAATAAGCCAGTGCTCAATGTGCCTAGTACGCCTTTAAATGACAAAAGTAAGAAGGGTCGGACGACGATGAATAAGCCGACGCCTTCAGCAGTAGTGGCGCCTCAGCCGGCCGCGCCTAAGAAGCCACGACCGCCTGCGCCGCCGCCCGTGGCGACGCTTCAGGCAGCGCCACATCAGCAATACTATTACCAACAACAGCCCGACGAAGGTGCGTTCAATTTATTAGATTTCCATTTAAGAAGTAGAGCGCGATGGTGAAGAGCTAGCCCTGAAGCTTGTATGACAGGAGCAAGCTAACTGCCATTAAGGCAGAATATTGTGAAAACTTGTTACATTTTAACTGTGATAATGTAAATTTTATTAGATGAAATCTATGATTATTGAAATGTAAATATTCTCTATAAAAGAAATGTGATGTACCTATCTTGTAGAGGTTGATATTTTAGGGTTAGCCTGTAACAAGATTTCACTTGCATTGTTGTTAATGACACATAATTAGTGCCATTTTATTGTAAATTGTAGAAATTGTGACTCTTGTCATACTCGCTACTGAAGGGGTGCTACCATTAATAATTCCAAAATCGTGGTATATTTTTTTATGGAGTCAATACCAGTGGGTTTCTGTTGTATATATAACATAGTGTATTGTATTTTACAGTATTGAGTTTAGGTGGTACTTACTATAGTGTATGCATATTCTTTAGCTGAAAATGATTTTATATTATAAGGAGAAAATGATTTGCATAATAAATTGACAGCTATAAGTAAGTGCAAGATTATGTAATAAATGGCCATGCCCTGACATAAGTTTTTTGTATTTCTATTTAATTGTTATTTGTTTATGCACAATTCTCAATATTTTATGTAAATACTTTTGTATAATAGGAGGAGACATAAAATAAACACGAGTATATTACTGATAATGTGTTAAATAATTTTAATTTGTAATTATTCCTGGTAGCACCCTTCACTTCGCCAAAATAGGGATAACATGTACATTGTAATTGTAAGTAATGTTTGTATTTTTTTTTAATGAATTATTATGAACTATATTGTTTGTCTACGTAACACCTGTGTCATGTGTACATGTTATCACGACAGTGACTTGTTCGTCACTTGGCTTCCCTTCCTCACCGCTCCTCAAACCTTAATATTTGAATAATTAAACAATAAATCAAGCATTGAATATATCTAAGCAACAGGTAATCAATTTTATTTTGTTATTTTATTTTTATTGTAATTTTTTTCTCGTTTGTGATTACAATATTTATTTTAGCTACAACACATGGGGCTAATCTAGGATATGGGCTCGGGTACGGTGCTCAAGAAAGTGACAACAACGGGGATAGAAAATTACATCATATCAAATCTCACCAGCAGATTTCCAATACAGGGCAGCTTGAAAATACTAGGCCAATAGAAGAAATGCCTTATCAGGTAATATGACAATGAACTTTATTATTCTGTAAGATGTTTTTATTATTTAAAATGACCTTCTATTATGTAAAAGAAGGAATTTTTATTTATTTATTTGAACTTCAATGCACAATTATATAAGTACATATGGCGTTCTCTACCAGTCAACTATACGGTAAGCAGAAAATTAACTACTAAAATATGTATAAATGTTGTTACTACGTATTACATACATATATTATATATATGTGTGTGTGCGTGCGTGCGTGTGTGTGCGTGCGTGTGTGTGTGTGTGTGTGTGTGTGTGTGTGTGTGTGTGTGTGTGCGTGTGTGTGTGTGTGTGTGTGTGTGTGTGTGTGTGTGTGTGTGTGTGTGTGTGTGTGTGTGTGTGTGTGTGTGTGTGTGTTTCCACCGTGAAGCAGTTTTGTTTGCATGGCTGTGTTTCGGTTTGAAGGGTGGGATATGGCGTGAATTTACTGGGTACAGAGGAATAACACCTGAGTCCTCAGGAATGGCAACGCATAGGGGGTATCATGGGCAAAACAGTATACTCTGTTATGTCCATGGTACTGCTCATGTCTATAGGCGACGGTTATCACTTTCCATCAGGTGGGCCGTCAGCTTGTTTGCCATTCTAAGTTGTATAAAAAAAAATTACTGGGTACAGAGGAATAACACCTGATTCCTGAGGAATGGCAACGCATGGGGGCTATCATGGGTGAAACAGTATACTCTGTTATGCCCATGGTACTGTTCATGTCTATAGGCGACGGTTACTACTTTCCATCACGTGGGCCGTCAGCTTGTTTGCCATTCTCAGTTGCATAAATATATATATTCCACAAGATTTTTGGTTTATTTATTTATTTAATTGGATTACAACCCATATTGTGTTAGTACAAGACTTAGAAAACTGTATAAATAAAAAAACAGTGTTTATTAATTCATATATTTCTAGCCTCTTCAGCTACACTGATCCCGTAACAGTGCAAATCATTCCAGTACCTCTGGAGTAGACAGTCTGATTTCTTTACAATTTTCTTTAGGATGCTGTTGATTCGCGCTTGCTTTCGCGGATCCTATGATATGTTTATGATCAGTTATCATTATTATTGATTTTAAGAAAATTCATCTTACTATGTTTAAATTTCAGTCCGGTGAATTTGTTGCGATAAAAACTGAACTGAATGAGATGTGGCCTTCTATTTGGAGGGTAGATGGTAAAACGTTGCTGCAAAAGTATGAACCATTCGAGGAAAATGGAAAAGTATTGTATCGAAATATTTCCACTGTAAGTTAAATAGTAATAGACTAATAGTAGTTGCATTGACTTTCGTTTGAGTATTAATGGAATTATATTAATTTTCAGTATGCGGCATGGAATCCGGAAAATAAAAAACTGTATACTCAAGTACCAGTAAAAGTTCGGTCACAGTCCCATTTGGAGACAATAGTAGAGTTAGTTAGAAGCGAATTGCCATTTGATGATTGTAATTTTATAGAGAAGAGAATGCTGGAAACTCAAATGTATCAAGAAAATTTTGAAGTCTATATACAGACTTTAATATCTCATGCGTTGGATCCGAATTTCTTAACGGAAATATTTCAAGAGCAAGGTAAGTTCTTTATTTTCTTACAAATATAATAAAGTTGTAATTAGGCGATGTTTGTATATGGGAAATGTTTAAGAAAAATTGAAGTGAGGGATATTAATAAAGTACCTGTCTGTATGTTTGTTCTGGTATCACGCAAAAACTACTGCACTAAATTGAATGCGGTTTACACAACAAATATAACTATACTTCTGAAGATTTAACTTAAAAGCTTATATATGTCTGTAAAAACTATTTACCTTGATATGCTGTTTAAAAGTGGTCTATTTCTTTGGTTATTTTATTTCTGAAATCTACATGTACGAAGTAACGGAAAAAGCTAGCTTTATATATGTTTAGTAAGGTATCACCCAAAAGAGTGTAATCACCACCTGGTGAAGGACCACAAGTTGGCAAGTTAGTCCATTTTTATACACATTTACCACTTTATTTATAAAAACGTCAAATTTCTCATAAACCTGTTTAGGATATTGAACTATTTTGCCTCTTTTTCTTAAACAAAGTATTGGTGCCTTATTTGTTAACCGATTTCAAAAAGAAGAATGTTCTCAATTCGGTTGTAATTTTTTTGTTTGTTACCTCATAACTCTGTCAGTTCTAAATCGATTTGGAATATATTTTTTAGCTGAAAGGATATATTTAAAGATTGGTCTCTTCTCAGAAATTTTATCAAAATCGGTTTATTAGTTCAGTTTTTAGATAAAAATAACTGGTTTTGTCACAATTGAAGTCTGTTTTTTATAGGACATAATCATTAATTAATTATTTGATTTATACAAAATAAAATCATAATATTTAGCTAGTTTAGACATTACGAACGACTTATATCCTTTATTCATAGAAACTTAACTTCCTACAAATCTGTTTTAACTATTAAAGTGTTTTGTCATATTTTTTCAAATTGAGAATTTAACGCAAAAGAAAGAGACAAAACACTTCAATTTCAAAGCTGAACGTGTTTATCAGATTTGACGTTTTTATGAATAAGGAGAATAAGTGTTTAAAGGTATTGGCAATCTGGAAGTGTTAATTGACTTTCGGTTCTAGAGCGGTAAAATTTAAATTTGGTCGCATATTTTACATTGGTTGCTAAGCCAGTTTTGGTTATTTTTTTTTTATTTTTTGGAAATTTATTAGAACAAAGTGTATTGGGTACATGCTCTAAAACATACATACAATATGTATCTACCAACACGAGTAGGCTAAGAGGATCGTTCGCCAAGTGTATAATAAAAAAATGTATCGTGGTGTTGCTTATCTTTCGCTTGAGCGAAAGATCGGCGCACGGATCGTACTAGTCCGCCATTCGAATAACCTATCTTCAGCATAAAACAAATTGTATGCAACTTGACATTTTGGAGTTCCATTGCGGAAGATCGGTGATCAAAATTCAGTCTAACGTAACTCTAGCCTATTGCAGTCTCTCTTACAAAGTCTTCTCTGATGATATTGCAGACGAATATTTCTTATCGAATGTGAAAACGGTGGACGAAGTGACGGAGAGGATGCGCGGGCGCGTGTCGAGCGGCGCGGGCGGCACGGGTGGTGCTGCGGGCGCGGGGGGCGCGGGCGCGGCGGCTGGTGCGCGGGCGCTGGACGCGGCGGTGGGCACGTGGCCCGGACTCAGCGTGGCGGCGGGCGCCGGCGTGTGCCGCGCCTGCTCGCGAGCCGCCGTCGCGCGCCTGCTGCTCTACGGCCAGCCCTACAACCCCGCCACGCTGGAGCCCGTCCAGCCCGATGCGAGGCTCGCTTACGAGAAAGTGAGTACTCGTCTCTGTCCTAGCTAAACTTATCACGCAGCGCTATCTAATGAAGAGGAATTCTGATAATCGGATTAGCGCTTCTATTACTAGTAAGCCGATCTCCTTGCGGTCGCCAAAACTATCGTAATTCATTCCTAATGAATTTACATCACAATGAACTATCTAACCTGAATTCATCCTCAACTATCATTCCTCACTGGTGCTGTGGAGTACCAGTAAAGATTGATAGTTGCTATTAGCGCAGGATTATCATTCGTTTATCGTTCATTGGCAGAGTCATACGCCAGCGCCATCTACAACAAAACTTAACGGAGCACGTACTGTGGTTTAATATTTGGAGTATAATTTGTAACTTTGTACCTATGCCACGGTAGAACTCTTGTAGCCCGACGCTATACGACACTCGTATATCGTCGTCGATATCGTAGCTGTGTGATAGATATGAAGCAGTTGTGTTTTCGTGGCTGTGATTCGGTTTGAAGGGTGGGATATGGCGTGAATTTACAGGGTACAGTGGAATAACACCTGAGTCCTCAAGAATGGCAACGCATGGGTGGGGGGGGGGGGGGGGGGATCATGGGTGAAACAATATACTCTGTTATGTCCATGGCACTGCTCATGTCTATAGGCGACGGTTACCACTTTCTATCAGGTGAGTCGTCAGCTTGTTTGCCATTCTAAGTTGTATAAAAAAAAGTCAAAATTTTTAACCAGTCAAAAGTACTATTGACTAGCAAAATCAGTCAAATGTACTTATGACCGTATGCTTTACTCAATAATACTTTTGACTAAAATAACAGTTAAAAGTACCTAACCTAAACTAACCGCAAATTTGCAGTCAAAAGTACTAATAACCAATAATTTTCAGTCAAAATCACTTTTGGCCAACCTGTTCAGTCAAAAGTACTTTTGACTGGTTAAGAGTTTTGACTGCAACAGATATACTTATCGCATAGCGCCATTTAATTCCAAACTGTATACAGCTTGTATCAGGGTACTAGACAATTGTACTATATCGCACAAATGTACAATCCCACCACACTACTACTACTCGTGTGATATTGCTGTCTGGCTTCTACATGGCCGGATTCTTTATATATGAAGACCTATTAAATGACTTATTGCTAAAACAGCCTTTGACTCATAGCGTTTTGCAAAAATAAATCCCCCTCTCACATTCTCTGTACCTCCATATAACTTTGAATTCAATTATATGGATTATTCGCTTTACCACACAGATTGTACGTTTTCCTTTGCAGGGCTCTGCCCACCCTCTTCCTATCTCCTTGTCACAACTTGGTTATTTATTAGGGAAGTTAAGTATTAAAAAAATCCTTGGAATTTTATCTATTTGTAATAAATAACTCCTTTAACTTGATTTTATTTCAGGAATTTCTCGTATGCGGGACATGTTGCGGTCGTGTACAATTATATTCAAGAATATCACATCAGAAGTATCTAATGTATGCTGAATGTAGTAAACGAGTGGCTGAGAAGAGAATGCAAAACCCCAATAAAGATACTACTGTAATACTAAATGAATTATTAGCAGATGAAGTATGGTTGTCCCAGGTAAAAAATGTTTATATTGATGCCGATACACGCAAACTAATTAAAACAAAATTTTACTACTTTTTTTGTGAATTAACTATTAATTTACGATTTTGCCCTTTACTTGTGCTACATGATACTGTTTCTTGCCAAATTTCATGATTCTAGGTCAACGAGAAATACCTTATAGGTTTTGATTCCTTTTGCGAATGACAAATATGCGATATAAATGGCACATAAACGACCGTATCTTTTGATTGCATTGATTTAGAAGCTTGAGTTTCTCACTGTTTTAAGAAATTGCAGATTTGAGTATATGATATCAATTTTAACTTGATACTTCCATGCGTTCTTAAGAAAAAGAGTCTTGACAAACAGACGGACAGACAACGAAGTGATCCTATAGTTTCCATTTTTCCTTTGGAAGTATGGAACCCTAGTTATCTTCATTATTGTTTATATTACATAATGTGCTAAAATGTTGGTGTCGGTCTCATCACACAGTGTGACTTTCATTTTGTATCAGACATCATTTAGTGTCTGAAAACAAATGAATAGATACTTTTATTTGTATTATACATACATTACACATGCACGGATAAAAGAATATAGGCAATAGATATACTTGTATAAGTACATAAAGCAGTCTGAAAATAATCTTTTCAAGATAATCTTGGGGTAAAAATTTCACTCACTACAATTCTTATAGAAAACCCACCAAATAACAGTCACCTGCGCTATGCTATAACTATAATAGGCAGAATATGACAAAAAATAAGTAAAATTTTATTAATCCAGGAAATTTTCAAGGAAAGTTTCATGTCCTTAATTTGTGGAACTATTCATTTATAGTGAGTAATTGACATTGTTTGTCTGTCTGTCGACAGCTGTTCCGTGATGTTCGTCACTCGTGGGCGGAGGCAGAAGCGTGGGAACGTAAGTTACGCCAGCAACCGGCCAGGCATCTCGTATAACCCGCACCAGTAGATGTGCGACGCTATATTTACGGACTACTTTTTAATTTGATTTTGATACCTGTGAAATACGTGCTGTATGTATGTAATTCTTTTTGTATCTTAGTATACTTTGTACTAGCATTTAAAAATAAAATATCAGGGGGCAGGATCTATTAGCTATAGGCACACATCACATTTCTATTAGATATTATTTTTTATATATAATTTTTGTCATCGAATTTTATTGGCTGTTACTTAGTATCAGTTATTTATGTCGATACTCCGGTGCCATTTATATACTATTTCGTGAAAAATATAGCCTTGGCCAAAATTAACTACTACCTTAGAAATTTACAATTAACTTAAAAATTCTTACGGTTGGAGGGGGGAAAAACCATGTTTTTAAAATACTTTTAATGCTAAAATTACATTAATATTTCGTATCGAAACCTTTACCTTTAATTACAGAATTTATTCTTTTGGGTAAAGAGGAAATTAAATTGTTACATTCTTCTAGAGTTATGGCATTCCACTTCTGTATAAAAAATTTAAGTTTGGAAGTAATCAAATGTTCCTTTATCTTGTGCAAGATTTACGGTCGATTTTTAAAATCGACCACAAATGTTCAATAGGGTTAAGACCCGGTTACTGAGGTGGCCAACATAAAAGCTTTATACTATTTTTCTCAAACCAACTCATAGTGGTTCTGGATTAATGGCATGGGGCATTGTCCTGTTGGAAAAGGAGGCCATCTATGTTCGTATTACCGAACATCATAACATCATATCAATATCATAATAAGGGTAACAGCGCTATTTCCAGCACCTCGGTATATTTTTTCGAATCCATTCGGCCTTCACACACGACCATTTTTCCAATTCCTGAGACAGAGATGCAGCCCCAGACAATAACACTGCTTCCACCATGTTTTACAGTTAGCGCCACACACTCCAGTATGAATTCTTCGCCAACTCTGTTTTTCACGTAGGTGGCATTTGCAGTACCAAATACCTGAAATTTAATAACATAATAAGATTTTTGAAAATACGCTTGTTATTTAATGATTAACTTCAATATATTCCAAACGTCTTTAATTAATGTTAAATCATTTAAATGACATACCTTAAAATTGGATTCATCCGACGAAACGATATTCGCCCAATCTTCCTCGGTGTATGTTAATGTTCTAAACACCACTGTAAACCTAACTTCTCAGACAACCATGACTCCTTCTTTACCTTGCAACCCTTGAGTTCAGCATCCTGTAGCCTTCTTCTAGCAGTTCTAGCAGAAATATTTTGATTTTAGGGTGGCAAATAATTTTGGCCAAGGCTGTATAATGTACATTGTATGGGTCATAGTAACATTTTTTGTTGTTCCTTGTTTTATGTGCTTAGAGTAACATCAAATGTTCTATGATTTGAAAAAATAAGTATGCCAGGTCTGATTGATTTTTAAGAAATGTCTTGGAAACAACAGCCAAAATTAATAAAAATATTTCAAACATAATAAATACAAAGTAATAATAGTGGGGAGCAATATAATTAAATTAGAAAGCCTTAGTTATGTCGTAATAAAAATTCGAGTATAATATTTTCGATATTGTGATGAAACTATTCCACTATTATTTTTATTGTAAATAACTATGATATTATTGTGCAATGCCTAATGGTGTTTTCTTTTGAAATTGATAACATTGTAAATGTAGCATTATTATATTAAACGATTTTATAGATATTTTGTATTAGCAATGATCTTTTATTTGTGACTATGACCATGTACAGAATTGTATAGAAATAAATAAATTGCGAGGCAAATAGTTCCTTTTTGACTTAGTCAAGTTTTTCTTCAGGGCCAATATTTATTAAATATGAGGAGAGTAATTACTAAAATGCTTAACAAAACCATTTATTTAATATTTTCTTATATTGTTCATGTTCACTTTGGTGATTATTTCCCCATAGTTTTATAAGAAGCAACTAATATTGTGTACGTACAAGTTTTTCAGTAATTGCCACAATATGGATTAAAATATATGTTAAGAACGCCTATTACAGAAACAAATAGGTACCTGTATTAACCTATTTCATGAATAGATTGCATTTGCCTTTTCATAAGGAATTATAATACTTATCACTATAACTAGTTTCTGCTAAAACTGCATTATTTCATCGGTCGGATTAAAAATAAATATGATACTTTAAATGGCAAACAATTATTTCATTGATTTTTTTGTTAAAAAAAAGTTAATACAAGTAAGAGACGTTATTTGCTTCCTATGACTTTTTATGTATATTTTTCTTCGGTCCGTAAAATTAGTGTTACAAAATACCGAGACAATTGATGGACATATTAAATTTCACATTCCTGCAGATATGAATCTTGTCCCGTCTCATGAAAATGATAATTCCTTAGTATTGTATATACTAAGACTATATTTGCCCTTATAAAGCGAACAAAATGTAACGATGTTATATTTCTACTATGGAAATAAGTACAGTACGAGAAGATATTTTGTATAATTGCTTTAGGTTGTATAGGTTAACATTACTACATCGTATAGTTTATAATCCTAAGTAGTCATGTAGCATTGTAAAAAATAACAGGTTCTATCTGGTAATTAAAGTTGAAGAAAACTTTATTTATTTTGTTCAGATTGGACAGGACTTGGTCGAATTCGTTTGACACAATTTTTTATTGTAAGACATCTTAATAAATGGCAATTTCATTGACTATAATCTTTCATTAATTATTCAAATGAAAACCCTAATGACACAGATTGGTTACGGCATAGAGTCGTCGTATTTAGACTGCGTATTACCAAGTATTATACATTATATTTTGGAATATTGCATACATAATATTATAAATATTAAACGCGTTACAGTACAATACGTGCATCATTGCACCATGTTTCAAATTGGGGTTGCGATAAGACTAAGATATATCAATGTCTTCGTTGTACGATATGAAAGCTTTGGTGGTAGTAAGTTCTTTTTTTGAAGTCGATTGAAAATATTTTGAAACATTACAAATAAAACGAGTAACTTTGTATAGAATACTTATAATTTGCTTGCACACAGCCTCTATTGAGAACAATGTTAAGAAATAGTGAGGAAGCCTGACCGAAACAATAACAGAAAATTTTCAGCGACTTATTACGTACTCAAAATACAATAAAGCCGCACAGTCATTATTTATTTTTAATTATAATATAATAAAGGTAAATTTACCTTACTGGTTTCAATGTAATATTAAAATAATACTTAAACTGTAACAGTAATTATATAATGACGAAAGCTATGTTATATAGTTTGAGAAATAAAGTATATAATATTTAAACGCATATAATTACAATTGAAATCAACTGCATTAAAAGAATGAGATTAGAAAGGTCCCAGAAAACAGTTTTGTGTGCACACATCTCCTGTACTTAAATTATCACGAGGACGAGGCACGCACGAGGTACTAGCGACATACGGCGGCCCCACCGGCCCGCTCCACATACCGCCTCACTTAGTCACTAGTGTGACCATAACCTATACAAGAATCTAGAATTACGTAACTTATAATAATTGCATATATCATACATCTAAATCCAAGTAACTTATTTTTTATTCAGTTTCATGTTTTAATATTTTACTTTTTTTTTATTGTTTTTCTTTTATTATTATTTTTATACCATAATCTCTGTTTGTTACCACAGCGCGTTGTTGCCGGTGAAATCTGCCTTCCACGAATGATTTTGTCCACCACTGAGTTATTTATATGACGAAGTGGCCAATGATGCGGCGCATCGTCTAATGTCACAAAGTCTATTCGACGTTCTCTGGCTTGCGATTATAATGTTGAGGGCGTGGCGGTCGTGCAGCCCCACGGGAACCGCCGCGGGGCCCTCCCCTGCCACGGCCTTTAAAGCCTCCTTGATAACTCTGACTGTTATCATTATATCTGTCACGTCCACCACCATTCTCGTTATGCTGGTGTGAATCAACTGTATCGCCATTTCCATAGTATCCATCTTCTCCGCCACGGTTATGATATCCATCCTTTCCGTGTCTGTTTTGATAGCCATCATACTGCCGGTTTTGGTAGCCCTCCTTATTAGGCCTACTCTGATATTCGCCACCGTGTCTACCGCGATATCCATCGCCGCCCTGTCTATTTGGAAAACCACCACGTCCACGGTGGCCATTCGGTGTCCCGCGACTTCCACGTCCATAGCGCCTGAATCTATTCTGGCCATCACCCTGACCCTGTGCCTTGCGTTCTGCAACATCCTCATTCTCAGGACTTCGGCTCTCTTTCCATTCATCATCATTTCTTTCCTCTACAGGTGTAACCTGTTGTCGTTCTTCATGTTGGTTAACAGGTTGCCGCTCTGCCTGCACAGTCTGACTTTGTGGTTGAAGTTTAGGATGAGGTTGTGGTTGTGCCTGCGAAGGCTGTGGTATTCCTGGTTGCGTCGTAGGGTGAGACGGCGGTTGTGCGGCTACATGTTGTGGATGTGGTGGGTGTGCCTGTGGCATAGGGCCTGGAAGTTGGACACCAGCAGCATTTGGTGGAAAACCAGGATGCTCAGGATGTGGGGCAAAATGGGGCTGTGGTGGTAATGGCATGGCAGCAGAGTCTGGAACACGTGCTCCTGGTAGTTGTACAAAATGTTGATTGGTAAAGGTTTGGGTTGGGATAGGTGCTGGTGGTGATGGTTGGTTTGGAATTGGTGGTGGTTGGGGTGTACCAATAGGGCTATCAATCTCAGATTCTTGTAAGAAGAAGAAATTCTGTGACCCTATTACTTCTGTTATGGGCCTTTGTTGTGGATACTGTTGAGAAAAGTAAGCATGCTCAACTTCTTGCAGAGTAATTGGGGGAAGTGGACGTAGAGGATATGCTGGAGCTGGAACAACAGCAGGTGCTGGGGGCACTGGATGTGCTCCAGCTGGGGGATAAGCTGGCACTGGTTCTGCTTCTGGCTCATTTTCTACCACCTCTTGAGTCTCCTCAGAAGTAGAAATAAAATTTTCTTCAGATTCCACAACAACATTTTCAACTGTCTTGTCAAAGTATCCACACTCATGGACTGTGGTAACAATTTCTTTGATACGTGCATATGTTGTTCCAATCACTTCTTTTGGTTTACCATCAATAACAGCATACAAATGTTCAGCAGCTTTTGTAACTTGAATATGAAATCCAGGCAATCCTTCTTCATTTACTTCATGTTTTGGTGTGACTTCAGGATACCTAAATAACAATAATACAAAAAGGATTTAGTTCTAAACTAAGTAGAATTTGTACAATAAGTAACGGGTGGCCCAAAAGTCCTTAGAAATGTAAAATTTGAATTAAACGAAAACGTCGCGCGTGAGCGGTGCAGGGGAAGCGGGGGCAGTAACTTCGGTTTCTGGGAATTTAGTCGCGATGGAGCGTTTCACCGGAGCGGATCGTGCGTTTTGTGTGCGCGAGTTTTATCAAAACAACAATTCGGCAACCGTTGCGAGGCGTAAATTTCGAGAACACAAAGGTTTACACAACTTTGATGATACCCCAGCTCTCCAAACGATTAAGAATTGGGTTGCTAAGTTCGAGGAGACCGGTTCGACGTTAGATAAAGCGCGGTTGGGTCGCCCAAGGACATCACGTACGGAACAAAACATCGACACAGTGGCACAATCTATTCGTGAAAATCCTACACAGTCAACTCGTAAGCGTTCCAGTGCATTAAACGTATCCAGGACATCGTTACAACGGATTTTGAAGAAAGATTTACTTATGTACCCTTACAAAATTCAGTTGGTGCAAGAATTAAAAGAAACTGATGCTATTCAGAGAGTGAATTATGCTAATGAAATGTTTAATCGGTTTACTTCGTTCAATAACATAATGTTCTCTGATGAGGCACACTTCCACATTAACGAACATGTTAGTAAACAAAATTGCCGCTATTGGAGCCCGATTAATCCAAAACTTAAGCACCAGAAGCCCTTACATAGCCCTAAAGTTACAGTTTGGGCCGCTATGTCAGCCCATGGCATCATAGGGCCTTACTTTTTTGAGGACGGCAGAGGGCGTGCTGTTACTGTTACTTCGGAGCGATATGTGACCATGATCGAGGAGTTGTTCACACAAAAATTGCAAAACTTTCCAGGCTTTAATGCCCGAACATGGTTTCAATAGGATGGAACAACTTCCCACACCTCCAATACTGCTATGCCCGTTATCCGTCAACTTTTTCCAAACAAAGTTATCTCTAAGAGAGGAGACATTTCCTGGCCACCACGTAGCCCGGATCTGACTCCAATGGATTTTTTTTTTGGGGCTACCTTAAGGCTAAAGTGTACGACTCTAACCCGCGGTCAATTAATGACCTAAAAGAAAACATCCGCAGAGAAATGGCAAGCATTTCAGCAGTGACGTGCCGCGCAGTCATCGACAATTTCAGAAGGCGTTTGCAAGAGTGCCGTGACTGTAACGGATTACATTTGGATGACGTTATTTACAAAAAATAATTCCCGTTTTTCTAGCTATATTTACAAATAAAAATATTATTCATAGTGTAATTAGTTTTATTTAATTAATTTTTTTCATTACTAAGGACTTATGGGCCACCCTGTATTAGAAATGTAGTGGACGCATTTTTGCTTTGTGTAATATGTAGGGTAAGAATGAAATAATTTGTAGTACTTAAAACTAAGATTTAACAGGTGAATGTGTCGTGTTAGTATGAAGAGCTTAAAATTTTCTTTACGTTTTTTTGGTAACAATGTTCAATTTTGGTGGTATAGTTCACTCCTTTAAAATAGTGTGTGAAAACAACAAGACCAATACAAATGTATTTATTGTTTAGGGTTTAAACCTGACACTAACAAAAACTGAGTAGTATATATATTTAATTGCTACATCATTATGGAGTAAAAAAAACACAATAATACCACCATAAAAGCGTTTATAACTTTAGTTAACTGAAGTGTAGCAACGTTAAAACTACCTGTCAATTTTTAAAAACAATTTACCAATTTTCAATATTTCTGACTGATTATTTCAAAAGTTTTCTAATAATTAACTAACATGTTACTTATGAAATAATATTTTTATTAAGCTGTCACTGAAAATTTGGATATTAATATTAAAAATTTATTTGAAAAATTCCAAAGGATAATATGACGTAGATGCAAAGTTATTAATAATGGATTTATATGCTATATATTCTGTGATTAACATTTTAGTTCGCTAGTAGAACACTTTAAATAATTCGAAGCATTGGAAAATGTTCATCAGTTTTTGATAATCGACAGACTATTGCGACAAAACAAAATTGCCAAATTTTGGTAATCTGAAGTATAAGCGCAGATAATAGTTATGGATTACTATCATCATGATATCAAAATTATCACTTTAATTTGCAAATATATAATTAATACTTACAAATCATCCAATATTTTTAGATCTTCCTCAGTAAGTTTCGCTGCGCCATTAGATCCATTCAAGAAATCTTCTCTGGCTTCATTATTACCCATTTGCATAAGGCAATCCAGAATCAATAGTACTTCTCGAATTTTGTTGGTCTCAGCTGCATAACGGACCCATGCATCCTGTATATTACAAATGTAAAATATAATTATGTATCAACAATTAAAATAGGATATAATAGAATGTACATTAATATACTATACGAGGTCTGTCCGGAAAGTTCGTATAAAAGTGTTCTGGAATGCGAGAAAGAGGAGTGGGGAGGCCAGGTAAGCGCAGGACCCCTTCCTTATGTCCCTAACAATGCTTCAGTTCTGGTCTGACCGCCGTGCGGTGCGAACTGGCTTGTCACGCCATCTGTGAAGTTACCTCTTAACGAAACCCCGTCGGCATGGAGCCCGCTTCCGTTGAAGAGCAGCGCGTCGTAATCAAGTTTCTCTCGAAACTCGGCAAGAATGGCCGTGAAAGCAAAGAGTGGAAGACATCCGGGGAACCACGAACAAAAAAATCAAGAAAATCCCGCTCAAATGTCAAGACAATGTTGATTGTTTTTTTCGATGTTCGGGGGATTGTCCATCAAGAATTCGTCCCTCCAGGCCAGACAGTTGATGGAAAATTCTACGTCGATGTGCTCAGACGCCTCAAAGCTCGTGTGGCACGAGTTCGTCCAGAATTGGCGCGAGAGGGGCGTTGGATTCTTCACCACGACAATGCCCCTGCCCACACCTCTCTTGTTGTCCGTGAGTTTTTGAGTAAAAATTCCATTACGGTGACCGAACACCCCCCCTATTCGCCGGATTTGGCCCCGTGTGACTTCTTCTTGTTCCCAAAACCAAATTGGTACTTCGGGGGCGGCATTTGGGGGACATAAATGAGATAAAAAAAGCTACGACGGGGCAGCTGAGAAACCTACAACCAGAGGACTTTCAAGGAGCCTTCTCACAGTGGAAACGGCGTTGGCACAAGTGCATTATGTCACAGGGGGAGTACTTTGAAGGGGATAAAATTGATTTACCTGAATAATTGTAAAATAAAATTTTTAAAAAACTTTTATACGTACTTTCCGGACAAACCTCGTATACATATTCTTTATTGCACTTGAAATAAAGATACAGCGATTAATTTACCAACTTGTTAGGAAGGGTGGCCTTATGTCTAAAAGATATCTCCTTCAGTTAACCCAATGCAATTAGAGAGAAAATAATTAGCGGGTAATCAATCCACTACAGGAAAAAAAGGTTTACAAGATAAATAGAATACAAATAAAATAAACATACACAAATTGTAAATAAATAAATAAATATATATATATATATAAACAACACATATAGTACGTATAGTAAACATATATAGTAGTGAGTGCATAGAATTTAGTATTATTAGTTAAAAGGTGGAATTTCAATCTTTTCTTGAAGGAAGTAATGGAAGGACTAACCTTTATGTTAATGTTAAAATGAGAAGGTTTTTCCAAAAAAATGGGTCTTACAAGTAGGGAGTTCTAATATTTTGGATTCGAAACAGGGAGCAGAGCTGGCTATATTGTACATATAAATAGGGGGTTGGTACAAGTCATCTGCATAGATAATCCAGTTTCATTTGTATTTCTGTTGCCAAACAGATATGCTTGTATGGCAGCATATAATTTGGTTTTAATGGTCAAAAAGGCAGATAATTGCATTTTAGCTAAAATTCCACAATTATTACTATGGAATGTTTTTAATGTAATTTTTACAATAAAATAAAAAAGCTGTATTTAAATATCAAAAACTATAGCAGAATTAACATTTAAACAAATCATAATATGTATGTAATGATGTTAGTAATATATCTAGATTTATAACCAACAATTATATAAATGCTGTTTACATAAAATTGATAGCCCTTCATGGTATTTAATAACCTATAAAGGTTGAAATATTAATTTTTACATCCACTCTTGAGAATTTTGAGTGCTATTTTATATATATATTTTTTTTAATTTTGTTTGTAACTTTGTAAACATAGATTTTGAAAATAGGAAAACCAATTATTTTATCGATTTTCTTACTGTCAATGACAATTTATAGATGCACTATCAAGATATAATATACACCAAGTAACCCTTAGGAACATACCTGTGACCATTGCATCTAATTTGCCACAGTACTTTTTATATGATTCAGATAGACATAAAAGTCCTAGTCTATTATTTTGCCTTTTGTTGATCTCATATTTTAAATGTGTTTTAAATGAATATGTAATTCATCAACTTTTGTATGGGTTTACCTATTTGTACTTAAGGTATAGGTTAAACACAAATTTTGGATTAAATGAAAATATACCTTCTTTGCTTGTTTCTTGGCTTCACGTTCAGCAGCTGTTGCAATTGTTGCAACCTGCTTGGACATATCCCTTGCAAACTCCAATGTCTGCGCCACTTCATCATACTTCGCAACTGCTACCTTCTGGTCACTATTCAGCTCTTTTCCAGCCTTTTGCAAGTCACGGTATGATGTCAGCTTACTCTAAAAATAGGAAAGGTACATATTTATAAGATTTGATACAATTTGTGGTTTTTAATATTTTTTTTAATCTACCACAGAATTTGAAAAGATTTTAATATCATTACAATCTTCCAACTATAACTAAAAGAGATCTATGAAAACAACAGAAAATTATCTGAGATAAAAATTGAATTTTCATATAATAATTAAAATTTATGGTGTATGTAACTCTTATTGGACTAATTTTAACAATAATGTATCACTTTAGCTGTAGTGTAGTACATTCAGTTAGACTTCAGTGCAAGCCATTTAAAACTATAGATAGAAATACATTTTTATTGAGTATTTCTAAAAAAAAAAAAAAATAGAAAAAGAATTATAAAAACAATTGTTCACTTAAAAAGATTACATCTAAACACCTTATTACTATCCAATACAAAATATGCTAAAAGTATAATTAAAAATATATGCAGTGATATTGCCACTTTTGGGCATGTACCCTTCAAAATTAATATGGAACTTTTATGGAATATGGAAATTTAGATGTAGTATTTTTAATGTTCTTTTATGCCACTGTATTAATCTTCTGAATATTCTCAGTCTCAATTTCATATGATGTTTATTAACTACCATGTTCTACAATCATCATTCACCATTAAAAACTTAGAACTTAAATGGTAGCATGTAATTTCTGGTGGAGAAGGGTGTGCTAGTAATACGGACTATCAGTACCATTTCTAGCAATTTACCCTGTCAGGTTGACCTCCATGTGGTCTCCTCTAGTAACCATCATCCTGAATTCCAGGTGTATTTATCTTATTTATTCAATGGGCTAACTATCCTACCTTTTCATTCTCACCTATCATCTCTCACTAGTGCCCCACCAGCATATACCGTTAGCATAGGTGGGTTTACTATTCCATTATCATCAATTAAAAAAAAGTATTTAGTTTCTAAGGAGTTTTCTTCTACAAATGCTTGAGTTATGGAAAAAGCTCGCCATTTATTATTATTATATTTAGGCATTTAGATTTATTTTAGGATTGCATGTGATATCCTTAGTAGTAGGTGTCCATTGGCTTGTAATTTTATTTAAGTAGTAATACAGTTTAAATTGTTTGTCAGTTTAAAAGGAATTAATTATATTTAATAATAACTCATATTTATTATTACCTACTAAGCACATATTTAAAATACAATATTCCTCATTGGTTATGTGGTTCTGGCATAGAATAGGCTACCCCTTCATATCCCGTGAGTGTTGTAAGAGCTAAGGGTAGGTAAGGGGTGGGCAGCAGCATCCCTCTTAAAACTTCTCTAAAGCCTAACTGGGATTGCCAATCCGCCTGCCAAGCATGGCAATTACTGGTAAAACCCCCTAAGAGAGAGGCTTATGTTCAGCAGAATTCAGAGATGGTGATCTTTAATAGATCAAGTGTTTATGGACCACCCTTATGACACTTAAGAAGATATGTATTACATTTTAAATGGAATTCTAAATAATTTAAGTAGGTTAAGTATCAAATTGGTTAAATATGTTAATTATAAATTTAATTAAGAGCCATGTTACTAAATATAACTCTTAAAAAATTATAACTGGAGTTAATTTTAGAATTAGATAGTATACATTTTAGAACAACCAATTACTATTGATTACAAAAAAATTAGGTTCTGTATACTCTAGCTTATTTTTTTTAAATTGTAATCTTATAAAAAAGTTAACTTCAGAAGTGAGTATTAGACAACTGAGCATATTTATTAATATATTGTGAGTACAGTTGCTATATTTTATTAACTAGTTTGTCTACATTCTGTGTACCAGCTTAGGAAATACACATTATAAAGATTAAGATTACAATAGAATAAATAGTTTTGTACAAAGACAATCATTTATTTATAATATCTATACATACAAAAAAATACTGACTTATATAGAATTATCTAGGTATGTACTCTAATAAATGTGAAATTAAAAAACGTAGTCTGTCTATTGACCAAATCAACTTTACTTGTATATAACTAACTGCTAATAAACAAACATATTAAAAAATAATAGAAACAATAACCGTTCTGCATGACGATCTAGCCAAAGAGAAGTTGCGGGCATTCTGCTGGCCCACGAATATCAAGCTTCTATTCAGCATTGTTTACAAGGCTTTTATAGTGCATTACAGGAAAGCAGAGAACTAGTTGAAATACTGGGACCATCTCTGATATTAATGGTCTAATTTTCAAAATTTTATTTGTATAGTTATAGAATAGTTCGTTATAGTTAAAAAAAAAAAACAATCAGTTCTTAGGTAGTTAGTCAGTACATAATAATAAAATTATAAATAAGTAAGCTCTACACAATTAGTAGTTTCTATTTTATTTTAAACCAGCTTTATATGAAGTAATTATTGTTCAGGCTGTTTTTATAGTACAGCACCATTTAAAAAATTATATATCAAACAAATCATTGTATTATCCATAGCAAATATCTCCTAAACCATGGTTTCGTAAAATAATTAAATGACAGACGACATTAGAAATTTGGGCGTCACGGTTTTGTATAGTCAACATTGGTTGAGCACATGTGTGAAAATGGCGTCAACCGTCCGCACTACACAAACTATTCTATTTACATGCCAAGTGCATTTTTAAATAACTTAAAAATGTGTAATATTAGTAAAGTATTAATTGTATAAATGCATTAGAAACTATTAATCACAATTATTCGCAAACTCTAGGAAAAACTATTGACGGTGTTAGAAATTGTACGTACCTTTCTTTTCTCCAAATTCCGGATTTTATGTTCAATAATAGTCATAATCTGTCGTATGGGTGAATTATCCGAAGCCTCCGAAGAGGCTGGCTTTTCGGATTTTGCATTCGCAGCTGAAGGCATCCTTCACAGGCAACAACTTTTCCTGGATTGGGTATTGTATTGTGGTGGTGTTGAAAAGAATAGAGATAGATTTTTTATCTATCTTCACAATCCAAGCAAAGGAACTGTCATCAAACGAACAACGCAAGCATTTATTTTTAATGTTGGCACTCCATAACTACTAAATGCTTAAGCGAGTTGATTTAAAACATAGATAAAGAATAGTTTATGTCGAAAGAAGACAGTAGGGTTGATTCTGGTCATTTATCAAAACCTATAAAATTTTCATTCTAAAGGTAAATATGAACATAGTTTCTAACAGAATTAAGTCTAAATTATTATAAATTTATTTTATGATGATTCATTAAATAGTAATTTCTCGAAACTATCGAATAAATATATCAAGTTAAGAGATAAGTTTAAGGAAACGGCTCCTCAGATTTTAACCCATTGGCGAAATTACCTGTCAATTTTCAAAATATTTCTGATTACTAAAAAGTGCTTTTAACGAAATAAAATGTACGCTGACCTCAAGTAAAAATGAATGACCTTGAAATGTGCATTGATTGTTGATAGCCTTATGAATAAAAGTTACAGTAAATGTAAATAACAATTTGGTGATTAATAATTATAGGCTCAATAAATATTAGGGCTAATTCTAAAACGCTATTTCTCCAAACTTATCTCTAAAATTGAAGTTGCAATTTGATATTACAGTTAAATATTTATTCTAAGGGCCAGTATGAATTAAATTTCTGATAAATTTAAGTCTGTAAAATAGTAATTTTGTTTAGAGAAATAGAGACTTAGAATATATCCTATATTATTTTCATAATATTTAACGGGTTTATTTACTGCATTCTACTTTAGATAATGTAAACGATGTTAAGTTAGGTAGGCAGGTTAGGTAACCGTAGATTACGAACAGCTCTTAATTTTTTTAAGAGTTGCAGTGTCTGTGGTTTTCTTGCCATTATAGAACAAATACCTCTTATAGTTATGCAATTTGATAAATTCTATGCAACCATTTATACTGAACGTTTAACCATTTAACCATATATATAGATTTTTATTTAAAATATTGATAAAGATAAACACTGTAAAATCATTGCTTTCTAGTGCAAAATCTCAAAACTCAGGTAAAATATTTGTAAACATAATGTGACTGCTTATGTTTAAGCCAATAAATATAATTATATGACAGGTATTGTCTATTAATTATTCTATCTTATAGTCTCGTCAGCCACAACCATAACGATCCTATCTATAAATCCGTTTACTAATTGTCCAGAAAATGCGCGAACAACCTAATTTCCTTTACTACAACAGATATGTTTTTTATTCTTTATGTTGTATATATATGATTTCATAGATATTACAAAATTTTTTTTAGAATATTACGTTTATCGTTATTAATTGAAACTTCTATATTTTCCTATAGGAAAATTTAAATACGTTTAATTTTTAAAATAAATATAAAACTATCATTTTGTTTAATTTTTGTTACTTTTAATTATATTCGATTCTTTGATAGTTCTAGTGATAATATTTCATAACAATGTTTTGTAAAACGAGAGTGAGTATTGTTTGTTTTGTAAATATAACCTAACATTGTACTAGTCGAAGCGGTAAAACATTTTTTAACGTTTTTCATACGTAGGTACCTACGTTTGTGTTCAGAAAAAAATATCTTTTTATGTTTATGTTCTTGAGTTCTAATAATCTTATTTGAATGCAAGAACATGGTATTAGGTAGTTATGGGCCTATTTTTGATCCTATATCTTTTTAATATAATTCTTTAGATTATATTTATTATTATTATGTCAGTCGTTAACTGTCCCCTGTTGCATATAAGCTTTCCCTATAAGGGGAGTTTTGCCAGTAGTTGCCATGCTTGACAAGCGGGTTGGCAACTGCAGTTTTTTAATGGGTGAAAATGGAATGGTAACTCTGCCCGCGCTATCGGTATACACCGATGAGGCGCCAGTGGAAGATAATAGGTGAGAATGAAAGCAAGTCAGTTGGCCCACCATGATGAATTCCACAAGAATTAAACATTATGGTTTCCACGAGGAACTGCGTAGAGGTCGACCTAAGAGGGTATATTACTAGCAATGGGGCTATTAGACCCCATTAATAACAATCCCTTTCACCCCTGGCAACCGCAGTTAGGCTTTTAAAGGTAATTTTAAGAGGGATGCTATTGCCCATCCCTCACCCTCCCTTAGTCACCTCTTATGGTACCCATGGGGCACACATGGTATTTTAGATTATAGATATATCACCAAAATGTGTCTGTATAAACATAACCAAAATAATATGAACCCATTTTAATATTCTTGTATGTATAGAAATACCAGAACATACCTAAATTAAAAAAAAAATGCTTAAGACTATAATTCTTAAAGGAATAATCATAGACAACATATTTTTTATAATTTTATGATAATGATGTAATTTTAATATCAGTGCGTATTAATCATTTCCAATGATCTAATTTATAAAAAAGCTAAAATAAGTTGTTGAAAGTGTCTTTTGTTTAAACAATTTAGGTTAACTGTTCTTTGTCTTTAATGTTTAAATAATTAATATGTTGTCCAATGCAATTGGTAACTTATAGCAGTAATATGGATTCTATAGATCAAAAAGTATTAAAGATTATTTGTAGAGAACATTATATATTTTTTATTTTATGTTTCTATATAAAGGACTTGTTTTAACAGCTATGTCTAGCAATAACATTTTGCATTTATTTATTAATTTAAATTTATAGTTGTGAAAAATTTACCATTTTTTATTTAAAATAAACATTAATTAAATCAAATTTAAAAGAAAAGAAACCATTGAAATTGGATTTATTTATTTTTTCATAACAATTTTGTAAACAATTTATGAAAATTACAAAATTTTAATATTAAATGTAAAAACAAGTTTAATAATTAATATTTTCATTTAAAGTTTATATACTAATAGCTATCAGATTATTTGTCATTCCATGTTAAAAAATGTTAATCTGTAAGTACTATTTATGAAACAAATAAGATAAGATGCATATGTTTGAATTCTATACAATGTTTTTTTAATGTGACTATATAAAAATCTGTTTTTATTATTTATAGAAACAATATACTGTGTATATTATTTTTAACATTATATAAATTATACCTATTATTTGCAGATATCCAGTTTCACCAATCAATTACTGAAACTTCAAAATAATAATCTACACACAACTACAATAAGAAATGATAGTCAAAAAACTGAAAAAAGTATGTTCCAATTATAATAAAAAAATACTTAACATGCTTTGACATACCAAAGATAAATTATTAAGTAATATTTTTTTTGCAGCAATAAATCAAGTAACCTTACTGGGTAGAGTGGGTGCTGATCCTCAAAAGCGAGGTTCTGAAGAGCATCCAGTTGTGAATTTTCCTCTGGCTACTCATTTCAGTTACAAATATGAGTCAGGAGATATATTACAGCGCACTGATTGGCACAGGATTAGCATTTTTAAACCAGCTCTTCGTGATACTGTTTATAAGTATTTAAAAAAAGGGCAAAGAGTGTATGTAACTGGTAAATTGTCCTATGGTGAAGTAAAACTTGATGATGGGCAAGTTAGAACGGCATCTACAGTTGTTGCTGATGATGTTATATTTTTTCAAGGACAACCATCAGAAAATTAAGTAGATATCTACATATTTTGTTATTCAACTTCAGAAGTATGAGACCCATGAGCCAAGAAATTCAATTCAATCTTTAATTTGGTACTAATACAGTTCAAAAGTTATAATAATTATGAAGCCCCAATCATCTAATAATCTTGAGAGAAGTTGAATCTCGTTTAGTTTTACACAAGATGTATGAAGTTCTCAGTTACTTTGATCTGACTTTGCAATTTTTATTTGGTAATGATTGCAATTAAATATACTGATCAAATTATCAAAAATGTCATACAAATTTGGTATTTATTAGCGTTTTTGAGTATAACTAAATTCTTATGGCAGGAGTCTTTAACTCATTGGTCGATCCCGAGGAAGAACGCTTGTTATCTGATATGTAAATTAGTCTATAAGCATAATGTTATGTATCTAATATGCATGTGATAAATAAAAGCCAGTAGTTTTTCAATATGTTTTTTTATAGTATATTGAGTATTTACCTACTTCTATTATTTTAAACCTGTCTATCACATAATAAAGGACTTAAAATTTTTATCAGCTTTTGTATACGTTCTACTTAAAATTAATCACGATTTCAATGATTAACTCTTTTAATTTTAGAATTTTGTTTTGGAACAAAAATAAATATATATTTTTTTTTATAATTACTACCCATAGGAATAGTATAACATACTTATTAACGACTAGCGGCCCGTCCCGGCGTCGCACGGGTAGACAATTTTAACATTTCTCTTCACTGCTCGGCTCCTATTGACCGTAGCGTGATGAAAAGTATACTATAACCTGCCCAGGAGTATGAAGAATAATTGTACCAAGTTTCGTTAATATCCGTCATGTAGTTTCTGTTTCTATAACGAACAAACAGACAGACAGACAAAAATTTTACTAATTGCATTTTTGCCATCAGTGTCGATCACTAATCAGCCCCTGAAAGTTATTTTGGAAATATATTTCATGTACAGAATTTACCTCTATAGATTTATTATAAGTATAGATAATATAATTTTATTTCTTGTCATTCAAAATATATTTTAAGTTTTGGTTTAATTTATATATAACTATTATGGTTGTATATATAATGGCCTGTTGCCTTTGTCGATTTCTTATATCGATACTATCGATGACATGCCATTGCCACTTATTGGCAACTTATAAAGAATTGAAGTTAGAATTGACGTATTTCGTCATAGTCGTAGAATACTGACGGATCTTTATATGTAATATTTGTTAGATCCGTCAGTATACTACGACTTTGACGATTTGTTATTATTTTAATTTGAATACTTGTCGCTTCAGAGTGTTATTTTAAATGCGATAATTTTCTCTGTCGATTCATATACAATATGTTTGTTATGGTTCTAAATATTTAAATAAGTGAAAAGTTTCAAGCGTATTTACACGTAAAACATGAAATATATGATACAGCACACTTAATTTTAACTACATTCACTTAAAATTAATTCCACTTCAAAATATGAAAATAATTAGAAATTATTTTTTTTCATACTCACGCAAAATCAGCTTCGAGCATATATTATATTGTGCAAATTTTGCCAATTCCGCAGTGGAATCGTATATAACTGGATAAACAAATTATTAAACATCTTTAAATATAGTAAAAATGAATGTAAACATATTGTAACAAATTGGCTATTAAAACAAACCTATAACGATACGGAAAAAGTAATAGAAGTAATAAAATTATAATAGTGTATAACAGCGTTATCTACGCTTAAGTACATAATTAATTAAAACAATAGAAAAGGAAGGGTATAATAAAACAAAATAAAACATATATGATATTTTTATTTGTAATTCGAATACAACATATACCTAATATAACACATACACACACACGCACACACACACACACACACACACACACACACACACACACACACACACACACACACACACACACACACACACACACACACACGCACACACACACACACACACACACACACACACACACACGCACACACACGCGCACGTACACGCACACGCACACGCACGCACGCGCGCTTGCACACATACACACACACACACACACACACACACACACACACACACACACACACACACACACACACACACACACACACACAGCGCGCGCGCGCGCTCGCACCTCTTTGTTCTAATATTAAATTATATTTATTTTTACTCCACGCAACTACCTTTTACTTTGAATTGTCAATACTTTATTATGGGGGGGCACCTGGTGTCTAAGATACAAGTTACGACTTAGTTTAGGCTCCAGATCTCCCACAAATTATGATACTTTTATTTTGTATAAAGTAAAATGTAATATTATTATACATTGTAATTTGTGGAGATGAATAAACTAATTTTTATTTTATATTTTTTTATTTTTTAAATACAATAATATCCTATCGTCTGTCTCGCTCTAACATACAGGTTATTATATTTTCAATCTTTTACATTGCCAGTCTATATACTTCATAATTGTCATTATTTCACCTATTCATTGGCTTACTGTTGATTATAGGTCCGACGGCTTTAGGGAGGGAAGGAATTATTAGTAATGGGGACAAGCAGCTTCATTGCTAGCAATATATCTAATCGGGTAGATCGCTATTGTCCCCTCTACAAATCATCGTGGTTTATTCTCTATGAACCTATAAGAACCTAATATACCTTTACCGGAGGGAAAGGGATTGTTAGTTATGGGGTATAACTGTCCCATTGCTAGCAATACACCCTATCAGGTCGACCTCCACGTGGTTCCCCCTGGAAACCATCGTGGTAAATTTTAGTGCAATTCGTCATGATTGGCTAACTGACCTGCTTTCATTGTCACCTATCATCCCTCACTGGTGCCCTACCAGCGTATACCGTTAGTGCAGGCAGGGTTACTATTTCATTATCATCCATTAAAAAAATATACCTTTACCTGGAATTAAACATGGTGGTTTTCAGAGGAGAGGGGCCGTGAGAATATCGATCTGGCAGGGTATATTGCTAGCAATAGAGTTGCTAGTCCCCATTACTAACCATCTCATCTTGGAGGGGGGGATTGTTACTAATGTAAAGTAAATAAACTATACATTGTAATTTAGCTCAATAAACTAATTATTATTATTATTATTAATGTCGGCTACCAGTCCCATTGCTAGCAATATACCCTGTCAGGTCGACCCCCACGTGATCCCCCTGGAAACCATCGTGCTAAATTCCAGGTATATTCATGACGATGGGCTAATTGACCTGCCTTTTCATTCTCACATATTCCTCAATGGTGACCCGCCATCGTATAGGTAGCGCAGGTGGAGTTGTGATTCTATTATCACCCATTTAAAAAAAACCCTAATCGTCTTCCTCACTGATTAGTTTTTATCATCTACCATTGTTCCCCGTTACCACGCCAGCGTATACCGATAGAGCGGGTGGGATTATCATTTCATTTTCACTCCAAAAAAAACATTCAATTTTCTTAAAAAAGAATTTACTACTATTACTTTCTACACTATTTACAAAATAATTGCAATCATAATTTTCTTACATATATTTTTATTTTATAATTACTGAGCTATTCGATAATAGATGGTGCTTATAGTTCTTTGAGTGGGTTATTCGTGCTATTGTAGGATTGAATTGATTAATCTTTGGAATTCACAATTTTTTATGATAGTTTTAAATAAATATGTTTTCAAAATCTATTATCCTCTCAACTGTGTCATGCAAAATGGTGGAAAATCCATATCTGTGGCGTCCCGTGAGCGGACTTAAGACAGACTAGGTATTTTTAGCGTATAGGTTTAAAAAACCTGATTTTTCCGAAATCTAATTGGAATTATACAAAATTAAAATTAGATTTATATTCCAATTAGATTCCTTATGTAATTTCTTACACTACACTCGAATTGCATTGCAACTGTTCTACGAGAAATAAAATGGGGTCACCTATAAATTACTTTTTATTATTTAATTATTAAAAAACTAAGACCTTGCTGGATGTAAAATTATATATTTTTTGTACAGTATTATATATTTGATAAAATAAAAATAAAATGGCTTATGTTCCAATACATTTTTTTATACAGCACTTGTTTATAAACATGGACCAAAAAAGGTCCTTCTTCAATTGACACTTAAGTGGGTATACTATTTTATTATTTTACGTACAATCTTGGCGTCAGGGACAAGAGGTGGTTTGTTTATAATAATTTAAGCTTATCACCAAGCTAGTTTAGACAAAATAGTATATATGACATTATTATGTATATGTCTACTCAGCGGACGCGACGCAGTTAAGAGGATATAGTAAATTTATTATCGTTCATCCTCTTGACATGTTCGAATCACTGCAGTAAATTCTGGTTACATCTACATTCTACATCATGTTAGTCATAAAAGGTGTAAACAATATATACCAACAATGGGCTTTAAATTATATTTTATATTTATCCAGCATCCAAGGTAAGCTATTCAATAACAGATGGCGCCTTTAATCTTGAGCAGCGTAGTAAGGTAGAAATTTTTAAAAATTTTGTTAATACCGGACCCCTTACATACTTTCAATATTAACATTTTCTAAATATTAATACGGTAACCGCTTACTATCAGGTGGGTTGTATGCTTGTTTGCCATCTGTGTTTTAAAAAAAATCAAATACTACTTTACGTTAAATACTTTTTCACAATTTTCACGATTTTGTTTGATACCTATAATTATTACTATTAGGTATCAACCATAAAACCAAAGGTCAGCTTGGAAGCTGACCTTTGGTTTTATGGTTGATATCAGATGGATCTGTTTTGTACGTTAATTCAGTTCGTATCGGAAAAAAGTATCATCATCTGAGATTTTATTAAGAAATTTAAGGTGGAGCCTTAAATTTACAGGAAAGTAATATAGCAGTATGGGGGGAGGGGGGAAGGGATTGTTAGTAATAGCAGTATGCTTATTTGTCATCACTGTGCAAGAAACTGAAAGAAAGGGTCAATCTTCTCTCATGGGAGTTCGTAACAGGTCTACGAGGAACAAGGAACTTAAAGAAGGTCAAGGCAGGTACGAGGTAATATGTAAATGAGTTAGATAAACATAAATAACATCTTTTTCATTTATTTTAAGTTATAATAAATCAGCCACAATATTTTTTTGTGAAACTTCATAATTATATTGTGTACATGTTGGAAGAGTTGGCATGCATTTGCCAAATAGAAATAATTGTAAAAATACAAACTCAGTTGTAATAGTACTTACATATACTAGGTACTTTGATAAAGCTCCTCTTTGTTTTACAAATCATACATACACTCTCTTTACAGTCTGTTCTTTTTAACCTATCTTATACTAATATTTACAAAACTATATTTAACTCTCTATGACATTTACCTACATTGATAAAAGAGATCACAGAAAATTGTAGCTGGAAATCTTTGAGTAAAAACCCTAGCATACTCGAGATGTCTACCACTTTTTGTTTTTATCACAGTGGACATTTTTTATTTCAAGGCATTTAAGGTACCTAATAAGATTTTTTTTTTATTGTCTTTTAGATCATATATTACTGAATATTTTACTCAGTTATAATTTATTTTAAAACTTTTATAGCTGCCATAAATAACGCATTTTTGAAATTATGTGGTAGGTACATTAAAGATTAAATTTTTCCGCAAGCTACAATTGAAATGGGTTGTAATAAAAAATAATTGGAAGACGATAATTCTATGTATGATATTTCATAACTCTGTTGATTTTTTTCTTATTACTTTTATCTACTATCCGTTTTTAGGTATATATATATATATATAAAAAAAAATATCCATACGTATATAGCTAATTAAATTATAAAATGCATTAACAGGCGCGTAGATTTACGCACACAGATATTTCTTTCGGCAATATATCTAGTTGTAACTGCGAGATCTCGGCAGTCCATTGAATGGTCCATTGCACAAATTTTAAAATAGTCTATATGATTTTAACACACATAAAATCTTCTTTCTTTTGCTAACTATTTAGGTAATTGACACTATTAGATAAAATCACTTGGCACAAAGGCATAATTTTAGGTCCATACCCTGTTTAACTCCAAGACCATATATAATTCGTCAAAGTTCTCTCAGTGTTTGTTTGCGTAATACAGCTTTATTAATAAACATGTTATTTTAGGAAGACTGGAATCCTTTCTGAGAGGAATTTGACTAGAATTTTAGCGGGTGGAGCTCTTTTCACACTATATCAACATAACCGTATCGCACTATAAGTGTTCAAGCATTTTCATTGTTTGTGATCATTGTTCACATTTTTCACTTTTAAGGTTTAGAGCGTAATGATCGCCACTATATTCAGGTTCACGTTTTAGCATCATGTTATCACCTATAAGGACACTGATGCGATGTTTGTCATGTTGCGAAGGAATAGGAGCGGGATCTGATCGCGCACGCTTTCGCCAGGGTTCTGATGCTGCCATGCTAAGGTCAGTAGGCATGTCTTCATCTACTGCTTCTTCTTCACAACGTTCTTCTTTCATCTCAGTTTTTACGGCGGCCTGGGGCACTACTCTCGTGGGGCTCATTTGTTGCCGCAGGAGTGAGATATTTTTAATGTTCTTAAGTTCAGTTGGGTTTCTTAAAAATCTGAGGAAAATAATGAAATGTTACATACGCCAAAATTCTATTTAAAATTAATGTTTAATTAATGTAAAAACAAGCAATTCATACATACTGGTAACAATGTCGTTCGCCTTGTACTTTTCGTAGGATATTGACACGATAGTAATATCTTAATGCTCGCGACATTTTGTCGTAGTTCATTGATAGATGATTTTTCTGAATTCCCCACAGTTTGGCAAGTCCAGCCGGGTCTACAATCTTGAATACACCAGTCTCTCTGTTTTTCCACGCAATGTAGTTTGTATACCTCTGCGTTGGGTCGTTTAATAACTGTTGTAGAAAGTCCCATAATAGGCGACCATCTGAAAAAAAAAATTACAGGTGGTTAGTTTCTTTTTTTATATTTTTCATACATGTGGAAATTGTAATTTGTTTTTAAACAACAAACTTACTTGTATTTGATTCTGGCATGTCGTTTGGAAAGAATTCTCTGTGTTGAGTACGGTAATGCGAATGTTGTACTGGAAGATTTTGTGGCGCTGGACTCGCCAGAGGAGTTTCTTTAGGAGATCGAGGCGGATGCCCGAATTGTGCTTCTTCGTCAGAATCAGAATGATTGCTTCCAGAACTAGCTGCTTGAGCCTGTGCAGGTACCGATGGGGCGTATGTAGGTCCATAGTTAACTCCGTCTCCACGTTGTGGACTTCCTGAACTATCTACTGATGGTGCTGGACTTAATGTTACTGAGTTTGGTTGGGCAGCAGCTACAGCAGCGCTATGAAAGTGATGGAAACCGTCGACAGCCCAAGTTGGTGTTGGTGGATGTGAGTGCGGTGATGGCGGATAAGGAGCAGCGCGCGCTGTTGGCGTTACCGGTGAAGATGGCACTCTTCCTAGAAGTGCTGCATCACGCACCAACATTTGTAAAACATTGTGCAAGACATCACCAGCACCAGGACAACGCTCTCCTAAGTCAGTTTTGGTCAATAAGCATAAAGCTTTTCCTGCAAAAGATGAAAGTAAGGGTAAACAAGAAAACTTCATGAGAGATGTGATGTACTCATTAAAGCTTAGACTGCAAGCCTCCCGCTCTTGGTCACTCCCTCTGGGTGACGTTCGGGTGGTTGATCGTGTGAGTGACATTGTGTATATATATATATATATATATATATATATATATATATATATATATATATATATATATATATATATATATATAATTCATTGCTAATAATATGTATAACTTACCATTCATTTGAAATAAATCCATATCAAAATTTGGCAAGTCAAATTCTCTTTCACACCATTTCAAGAAGATAGCTACATCATCTCTGGACCATAGTCTTGGTTCTGGCGGAAGGCTGGCTGGTAGTTGTGCCTTTGTATCGCCAAGAGGCGAGGGAGGCGGTGGCGCCCATGGCAATGGATACCGCCACAACAGTTCCGTTGGACTAAATGGCAGCGGTAATCGCTCCATACTTGGCCCCGACGGCAATTGCAAACTAACGACTTTCATCACGATTACCTGTAATTAAAAAATATTTATATATAGTTATAGTATTACAAGTAAAAGTTTGATTGTTAAACTAATCCAATGCTAAAGTGCGTATTAAAATCATCAAAATTATCAAACCTATTAAAATAATTTATACCAAAGAAGCTTATCTCCAAACGAAGATGGAACTCTAAAAATAATAAATTCGACCTTGAAGGATGTCAGCGCTAAGTGAAATTGAAATCAATTCCTTTTGTTTATATAAATTTTATTACCTATCATTCTAAACGAGAAAAGATACGAGTAAAATTATTCTTTAATATTTGTTGTAAAAAGTATCCCTGATTCTTGTTGAAACCCAATTTATTTAGGTATATAAACTTGTTAAAAACAATGAGCTAAAACACATACATTTGAAAGCTTTATCTACTCCGTGATAGGGGGCGCTCATCGTAGTTTTCTAGAAGTTATTTGTTCTAAAGATTACTTATTCTACACTATTTAATATGTCAACATTTATATAAGACGCTTCCTAATTGTTTTGTTTTCCGGTGCTTTTATTTTGTAATGCACACTTGATGAAATAATGTTTAAACGTTTTGAAAATATAATTTTATATTTACTATAATATTAAGTAGGAATTTATGTAGTTTTATTGGACTACTATGTTTGTTTTTTAATTTATGTAATTTATTGTCTTAAGACACTTCTTTGATGATGACTATAATAAATAGATTTAAACTAAAACTTTTTAATCGTTTCAAGCTACATCAAAAATGCGGATGTTCTTATATCATATATTTTTTTTCTTATTTTGTATGTTATGCGATACTTTTGCCAATTTTATTTTTTCAATAGATATACATGTCTAATTTTGTTACCGTTGAATGTTATGTTTTTTTTTTGCGACACTTGATATGGAATACTGATAAATATTTCCTCAATAAGCGGTATTGTTACTGACAAAAATAGTTTTTTTTTATTTTTGTATATGTAAATATATACGTTAGTACTCGTATATTTTGCAGCTGGTAAAGTGATTACATTTGTAATTTTGGTGTTCGAATAAGAGGGTTGAAATTTCTTTCTGATAATAATCTCATTAATATGTTACTTTCTTGGTATTGACTTTAAAAATTTGGTAGTATTCAACGTATTTTGTTTTAAAATTATCCACATATAATATGTCATAGCATGAACTCCTCAATCCTCACATCCGTCCTTAGTATTTAAGTTATCTCGGTTCGATAACCCAGGTTTTATATCAGTGGGTTTTTACGATACCTAATAATAAGCAAGTTTCAAGAGATAATTTCAGGTTAGTGTTGTAATGTTAAATTTTTGTGCTGATAGCTAATAGGCGAGGGACTAATCGATCTTTATTATTATTATCATCAGATTTCAATGCTTATAGGGTCGTTTCTTGTATGCCCCCTTGTTTTGCACTATGTTAATAAATTTAGGGTAGTCACCAGCTGATTCCGATTTTCGGTAGGATTACAACGAGATTGTTCCAAATCTGTCGTATAATAATATTACTTATATTTTTATCAATAACGTTTCAGCTTTTATCTAAATGAAATTTCTATTTTACTTTATTAATTCCATTAACAACGCCGGAATATTTAACTGTATACTGTTTCATTATTGTTTGTAAATTAACCACATGTTTATTTACAAATTTTTCGTAATCAAATTATGTATTAATATAAAATTTGGTATTTTTTATTATAGATTGAGTACTTTCATACAATATAAGAATTTAAGTTGTCTAATCATAACTAAGTAGGTTATACCTATAATAATTTAATATAACTTAAAATAATTGTTCTTGAGTGACATCGGCATAAATTATTTTGCTAATGAAATCATACATAGACTGCTATTGAGTGCTGCCGGATCTGAATACCATATCGTTAGGTACTATGTACAGTCGCCTTATCGGGCGCGGTCGGAAATGCGTGAGTCGCGATAGCGCGGTTTGCGATAAGCACCGCTACTTACCGGCTGAGCTGATCCGGAACTGGTTGCGACGTCAAAATCCTATAAATACGGAAATCGGGAATTTCAGCACATGTACATCGTCACAACACTAGTAGCACAAAATCCAGTGTTCACAGAGTACCAGGCACACGCGTAGCAGCGGCGGTCCCTCCAAACGTGTCGTGTTACGGCACGCCGTAAACCAGCAGCGTATCTGAGGGATCTAGCTCGCAGACAAGCGTCGCGGGTAGCTCTCCGACGCGGACTGATGATGATGCGGTAGCGGTGCGGGCGGACGGACGCGCGCCCGCCGCGCCGGCTCCCCCCGCCCCTCCCCTCGCACTGCTTCACATATTGCCGAGATAAAACTTTGGAAGCCAGACCAAGACCCATTTTTAAATAAAAATATGGCGCGAGTAATATTTCCGCAAAATGTCAGGGGTGTTGACGAACTAAGCCCTCCACAGTTGCAAAATAAGTTTAATAATAAATAGATATCTTTATAGGTACAACGAATGGGGAGTAGGCACTTACTTGAACGTGCTTGCTTAGGGCACGCGGAAGTGCTAGTTGTATGAGATTACGTCAGCGCGCCAGTTTTTAATAACTCGCAATATTTCCTTGTTTGCAGAGTAATTGCGGGTGCGACATGACTTGTTTTTTATTATTATATCTATCTTACCTAGCCTACCTATCTTATTTATGTAATTTATGGATGTGCTTCATTATCATATTTATTTTTTAATGCATATTTAAAAAATGTGACTAGAAATAGGAGATACGAAGGCAAGTTAATTTCATTAGAAAATTGCTTGCAAATCTATCCTCCAAGTCTCGGCAATACAAAACAAGAAAGGAAATGTCTGAGTAGCTGGACGATGCAGTTTCCTGGAGAACTGCAGAGTGAGACAATATTATTGCTAACCGGTTTGAGCTGAGCTCATTTGTTTCATCTTTGTGAGCATATGTATGGACTACAAGTTACGTTGGGTATTAATGACTATCATGTTTGTACTGTCATGTATCTCATCACCGTTTCTTTTAGGTTATACCTTCCAATCTCTTCCAACATATTTTAGAAAATATGTCTCGTAGATACAATATGGCAATAGACAACAATACAACTTGGTCTAATAATATTCATTATAGGCATTGTCTAGCTATCTGCTAGTTATTAGTGTTAATATTCATATGTCTGTATATTCAAGATGGATTATTGTTAATTGCAACAGTTTATGGTGTTTATGATCATTGAATTGATATCGATCGATGAATCACAAGCAGTGGATGACTAGTTATATAGCTAATGTTTAGTTTAAATCCTGGAGCAGACGAAAGTCAGAAGCCAATGTTTTAGATGTGTTGGCGTATACGTGTAGGTTGAGATTATCTTGTGTGCCCTGGCCGCCGTCCCACTACCGGTTCGAGACAGAAATATTCGGCAGCCAAGACGGAAGTGGCCTCGGAATCTTTACCTGTTGCTCCCTTCGCCCGCCCCGCGCTCCCATGTCTCATTCCGTCTCGTTTTCACGTTCGGTGGGCGCTCATAGTTGGTACGGTGGCGACACGCAGGCGTTTGTCGTGGAGTTATGTGCAGTAATTTGGAGAATAAAAGACTATGATGTTCGTCCATACGTGACCGTGACCGCAGAACTTGCCGCTACTTTCTTTGTCGACACTTTGATGTTATGCGTTTAATGTAATTCAAATAAACACTTGTCTGTTATTTTCGTACCGCCTTTTTAGATTGTTGTAGTCGCAAATTCTTTTAATTCAACGAGCAGTTACCTAATTGTTTAATTGTAAAGCGATGTGTATGTGACCTATAAATATAATAAATAATGTTATTTTAATATATATGTATTTTGACATATTAATGACATAATATAGTAGTATTAATTTTGAATCTTCAATTTGAATGAAATTGAATGCATTTGTCCGGTATGCATATATACCTATTCAAAACTAGGTAGGTACTTGATTATTATTTAGAGATGACGATGGTGGCTCGGTTGGAATGCGACGAATGGCCGGACTCGAATCTGAACACATGCGGAAGTGCTCGAAATAAGTTCATTGCGTGAGCATATACTTTTGGCCCTCACGGGATCATTATGATTAGTCACCTGTGAATTATCCTTTTATTATTTATTTAATCTTTAATATATTTTGAATTTTCAATAAATGCAGTATTTATAGTAGAATTAATATCACAATATTACGCATCAGTCAATCACAGCCAATAGCTACTAATAAAGGTATTATAAATGAAGTGTGTATTACCCATTAAAATTGAATATTTATTTAAAATATTGACATATAAGATATATCCTAATAACAGTTAATATAATAAAAGTATGTTTAGAATATACCTACGTTCCTAGGTAATTTATAAAGAAAACTATCCAGATACCACTATGATATTAACTATGATTGTGTTCCACAAAAAAAAACCCGACTTCAATTGTGGCGAAGCCAGTGTGATAATATTTATATGGGACTATTTTGTAAATATATCCTTTCAGATAAAAAAAAGAAGTTTCTAAATCGGTTTAGAACTGACGGAATTATGAGTTAGAAGAAAAAAGAGTAGAATATTATATAAATAAAATAGATGAGTAGATTTTGAATGTGTTTTCATTCAAAATGAATAATTGAACTTGAAAGTTGAATATTGGAACTTTAAAGTTTTAAATTCTAAAACAAAGCTTATGCTTAAATTTTTAATAACTTAAAGCAGATGTAATAATAAGGAATGAAGCATTACCAGCCTTAATGGCTTTGTACATTGAAAAAGTTAGAAAGTCTGGATATTGGAAAGAATATATCTTAAGTCAGGTGACTTAAGCGGAGAATAGATCATAGAACAATATTTCTAGATTGATAGGAAGCCATTTGAATTAGGATCGATACAATGCTGTACGATAATACCTATGTGTTTGCGCAAATTATAAATAAACGGGATACCATTATTGAGAAGACGTTCCACGATTTGTGAATTTTCAAATGTTTTTTCTTATTCCTGGTTGTGTTTTCTTGCTTTTGATGTTTTTATTAAAAAAAAAGAACAAAAATTGTAGCTTTGGCACTTGTAAAAGAAAATAAAATTATAAAATTATTTCAGTTTTTTAGATTGGTATTTCCTGTAGATACTAAATAGAGTAATATTATTGGGCAATCTACGTTATCAAATGAATTTTATTGCGAAAACTTTATAGGAAATTAAAGCCATGGCATAGTTTAAGGCGGAAATTAATACACGCTCAAAGAGGAAATTAGGAAACAGGCTGGAGATGCCGGACGTGGGGGTTAGGGAATAGGGAGAGACGTGTAAATTAGGGTTGACGAGTTTTCTCTGTAATAAATAATATTATGGCGTGGTATTCAGTTATTAATAACTTAAAACATAAAAACGTCACGATGTTCGTTCACACTACCATTCGATTACCCTTTAATTGATTTTAATGAAGTATTGTAATATACATTTGTATATTGTTAGGATTGTTTTTATTCCGATCAAAAAAGAAATGAATCCGGTGCAAAACAATGTTTGCCGGTTCAGCTATTTATATGTAATAACAATTTAAGTAGACACTTCATTGGTACAACCTAGGAACTGGCAATAAGAAAGTGCGCGTGCAACAACCTATATTGAACCTTATTCCATAGAATGCAAACCTATATTGCCAACCAACGCTACTAGTGATCGTACTGCACAAATATGTCATCATAACTATTCTAGTAAATAAAAGAGAATATTGGTATGCGAATAACAATGATTAACGATGGGAAAAGCGTTGCTAATATGCCGGAAGACTAACGGATGCCGACGCATTTTAAATTGCAATCATATGGAAATGGCAACGCTTCCTGTACACTGACCCGGATTAAGCGCATTTCTTATTACCATCAGAGTCGTGATTGCGTATTGAATCAATGTAATTGCTAAATAAATAGCTAATTGCAATTTGTAAGTAAAAGTAAATTCAAATCTAAACTAATATTATAAAGTTGTAAAGGTTCATTTTAAAAAATTCATTCATATATAGAATTTATTTTATATATTTATTTTATTCAAGAACTACGAAGCCGGAACTGGTCATAGATTCATGATAAAACAAATAATTTTTAAGGATAGATTTTTTTACTTTAAAATTTATTTTAAAAGAAATTCTTACTAATATTATTAATGTGAACATGAGATTGTCAGCTCTTGGTGCTTTACCAGCGACTTTGTTCATGTAACCAGAATATATTGATCGGCTGGTTAATTGATTAATTAAATTCTCAAAACTGTATTTACACCAACTTTTATGGCGATTGGGTGAGCCGTTCAGTTATCAATAGGTAACAAAGAAATTACTTTTTACAATCTGGGTGTTATAGTTTGGTGCAAGTGATATCACTAAGACTGTAGAAAAAGTTATTATACCATTCCATTGTGCGTTTAATGTTTATTTATTTACATTAATAAATGAAATGAAATAAATTTATTGCATAAAAATGTATTACAATATACTTGCAGATAATATAAGATTTTTATACATTTTGGCATCAAGATTACATTATACCGCTAATATGAATTCAACAGATAATTTTCCCTTTATTGTAACCGTTTCCATATACCTGGCTATAAAGATGCCATACAGTAACAGAAGAAAACAAATGCTAATTTTAAACGAGAAAATTATCATAATAATAAGAAAATAATAAATTATCATGTTATATCAACTATAGGTCTGTAAGTTTGGAAATAACTTCTGTTTGCATAAAATTATTTAAATTTAGCATTTAAAAGTACTTTAATCTCTACTAAAATTATAAATATGGAAGTTGGTTTGTTTGTTTATTTTTTCGCTTTAGGTGAACGACATAGACTACTATATATCTCGATCGATTAACAAATCACGCGAACCAAGTCGCGGGTAAAAACTAGTTGTATATAGACATTGTCTTATCCTCAGATGAATTATTATCTGTGTATCTGGTTCTATCGGCCAGTTCTGTAGATAGATAATCATGTCATGTGCTTGTAGACAGACATATTACGTAACTATAGCAACTTTATTAATCTGGGTAGGTAGTCGAATTTCCAAAATATTTCAACGTTTGCAATACGCAACAATAACCTACGAATGTTGCAACGTCTCGACGCACTTCCGAGCGGTTGCTCACAAACCGCGACCCCGATTCCACTGTTGTTCTCGTGTTACATAATCAGGTGGCAGTCAAAACTAGGCAATGATGTCACACCGAAAAATTGCGCCACTTAGCTGCCTTAGCA